CCTATTAGATATGCAAACTTTTTAAATCTTTCTATTGTGTTACATAGCCTCAGTATTAGGCCTTTAATGCCCATTGACAAAATTTTTCTATGTCAAATAGTTTTTGAGTTTTGGGGGTTTTTGTTAAAAAAAACTAAAAGTGGTCTAAGTTACCCTGGGAGTCTAAGTTACCCCATTTTACGGTACTATATAAATCATTTGTTGTAGAAACACTTTTCTCGTGGATTTATGAATTCTAACTTTTTAATTTTAGATAGTGCGATTTTAATTGCAATTTGTGGGTATATTTGTGTATGTGATATTTATATATCTTTTGTCTCAGAAAATATGTAACTTATTTTTAGATTCAAATTGTAAATTGGCATAGCATAGAATGGTTGGATGAAGGCTTTTAAAATTTTGTTAACAATTTGTAGCTTGTTTTTTGGATGTTCAGCAAGATGAAACATGTGTACAAATTTTATTTTAAATTCTGAGTTTGACTATAATAATTATGATTTAAAAAAAAAGAAAATAAATGGAAATTATTACATTTACAGCTTATGTATGGCTCAAATTCAAGATGCAGCTCCTACATTTCCTGGAGAGCATGAAAACATTTTTTGGGCGGCATGCTGCTTTTGCATCCCTGGCTGCCATAGCCGGGACACTCCTCTACTGGATCAGGGGTGCCACCTTGGATACCAGCATTGAGGAGCCCAGGCCATCAAGTAATCACAGCAGTCAGATATCTTCCTCAAAGCACTCCAGCACTGGTGGGTTCATTTGGTTAGTTTAATGCATGACATTGTGTAACCTTTTATTCTGAGTTTTATGCTACATATTTTCGAGTGAGTTCAGTTATGTTATTAGTGTGCTTATCATATTTTAATTTTAGATGGCAGAATTTGTTGATTTATATGCGTGCAATTGACGACCAGAGAATTAGTTGATTTAAATTATCAAGGAGTCTGACAATTTTTAGATGACATTGGTAAATCAAAAGGCATATATCAGGAAATAGTTTTATTCATACATCATATAGTTTTAGTATAGGTTTAGTCATATAGTTTTAGTAGGCATATATCATTCTACTAAAACTACTTCCTGATATATGCCTTTTGATCTACCAATGTCATCTGAAGAATTATCCGACTCTTTGATAATTTAACTCAATGAATTATCATATTTTCAGCACATCTATATGTTATTATGTTTCACTAAATAATTTTTTGAGAAGTCATGCAGGAAAAAGTCCAGTTTTGCCAGGTTATGAATAAATGAATAAATAATTCAAGCAATTCTATGTAATGGCCACAAGATTTATATTTGTTTGACTTAATTTAGTCTGCCAATAACAAAGATTCAGTGGATTGTAATTGTCTGTGTGTAATATTGCTAAGAACATCAATGAAATATGTGCTATTTAGTGAATGAATTTTGTATTTGTTCAATTTTTACCTGGGATTGGTGATGACATTCATTGAGGTGGAAAACATTTTTGGTAGGTATTATTTAAAAAAATAAGAAACTTATTTAATTGTATGTAGACTTGCTTTGATATTGTAAGAATAATTTTTTTGCTGTTTTGTAATTTTTTATAAAATATATTTTGAATTGCCTCCATAATACCTTGCAATAATTTATTCTTGCTGCTTTTTGATGTGATCTATTTACCTTTTTTTCTAGATGTAGAAGTGTGTGGGTTGGAGAACTTGGGGCGCAATTGGTGCTACTCAAATGGCTTGCTGCAGGCCATGGCCAGTTGTCCTGTGCTGTGTAGATGGATTGAACACCTCCTGAGGGTGTCTTCCTCATCTGAGGGGCAAATTAGCACCTCGTGGTGCTCATCTCTTCCCCGCCACGGCACCGACGGCCTCTTCTTGTTGCCCGCACGTCCGTGCTACGGCGCCTTCAGGCACAAGATGCCTCTTCTTGCTCAGCTCGACGTCGTCATTAGAGGTGAGGATTCAAGTCTTGCAATAGTTGAGTCTACGATATTTCAAACGTGCTGAACGAAAATTTGATTTACAATTGTATTACTCCAAATTGTTCATTTATGTTCAAGGGAAACAAATGTTCAATGACCACTGACGACTTAGATGCAATAAAATTAAACTAGAACTCCCCTTATGGTCAGGAGTGAACGAGGGCAACAGTGGCACGAAGTCCATGAAAGGCGTGTATGAAGCTCTTGAACAACACGGCTGGCAAATAGCGCGCGGGGAGCATGACTGCCACGAGATGCTGGCAGCGCTGTTCACTACCGTGCAGGCCGAGCTAGAGGCTGTCGAAAAGATCATGGGTTACACACCACACGAACTCAAGCAACACGAGCATACCTTGGCTGGAGAAGCTGCACACGACTCAGGCTGGAACTATGCTTCTCTGTTGGATGTAGCGTGGCTACCGCCTGTGTTCAAGCCAGTCAAGCAGCTGTCCAGGTCACTGAGTTGTTCATCTGAAACAATTTCTAGCAACCATGAAAGTGATTCAGCGAGAATAAAAGCTAGCAAAGATCGTCTTCGGGATTTTTTCACGCGGCAGAGACCCTCAACACCACCTTTGCAGTCCAAACACGCACCGTTTGCAGGATTTTTTGCTAATCAGCTACAATGCATGGCATGCGGCATTAAGGTAATGTTTAGAACGTATTTGAGATCTCTTGAGGTTGTGCATATCTTGTCACGTAGCGTTAGTATGAAATTTTAAAATTTTTAGTTTCAAGGTATCTTATGACTGATGATTTTTCTGTTGAAACATTGAACTGCCATTTTATGTTTCAACCATTATTATTCTGACTAATTGACTAACTACTTCGATACAAATAGCCCTGATAGGTAATCCAAGTTATTTTACTGTTAATTCAGGTGATTTCTGGAACGCAGAATTACTGTTCTACTGTATTACTGTATTTTACTGTTAATTCAGGTGTTTTTCTGGAACGCAGTGATTGCTCTCTTTGAATATCAACTCTACTGTATATTTGAACTTCATAAAGACCCTTTGGGAAAAAAATTCACAGATTAACGAGCACGTGCCCGGTCGAACTCAACTCATTTCAAGACAATAATTAACCTTGATTAAACGTGGAATCTTTATTGATGAGGAAGCGGAAACCTTCAACTTATTTCTCCACATTAAATAATTTAATTTCATTGTCTGTAGCACGCAGCAAACTGGGACCGTTTTGAGTGCATCTCACTAGTGCTGCCGCAAAGCACGTCTCGGGCCGACGTCTCTTTAGTTTCATTGCTGGAGAGCTACACCGCTCCTGACCTCGTCGAGGGCGTCATCTGCGACAACTGCACCTCTGCCTCTGGCGTTCCCGCTAGGAGAAACTTCATAAAACGCATCACCATTGGAAAAGTTCGTTCTCAGTGGCATATGGTGCAAAAATTATTCAATCGTTTTGCTAAAATATGAATTAACTGGGATTTACACACAGTCTGCGCAATAGAGTTGGTGCTTTTCTATTACAATAAATAATCGTCTAATTCATGACAAAATAAAAATTATTCAAATTCTCAATGATATTTTCTGTTATGAGAGTCATAATTTATTCGTTAGCATTTCTCAAGGAACAAGCTTCTGGCTCTGGGATTGCATAACTTTATACCTCTTGATGCGCAAGTTTAATTATTTATTTGATCTTTTGTGAGTGAGGCTGCTGTGGCGGGAGTTAGTAATGCCGTGATTATGGTGAGCTGTGTTATTAATTTGAGTGCTGGTGTGTAGTTGCCGGAGGTGCTGGTCCTGCACATCAACCGCACGATGTGGACAGACCGTGACGGCGCAGCCTTCAAGAGACGTGACCGCGTGTGGTACCCCCTGCTGCTTGACATGTCCTGCTTCACCTACACCAGCGCCACCTGTAGAGGTGAGCGTAATGTTCTGCTTCACCTACACTAGCGCCACCTGTAGAGGTGAGCGTCATGTCCTGCTTCACCTACACCCGCGCCACCTGTAGAGGTGAGCGTAATGTTCTTCACCCGCATGCACGCTACCTACAGGTGTAAGAATCGACATGTTTCGTATCATTTTGAAGCCTTCATCATAAAGCTAGGTACCTAGTCAAGATGTTGAAATATGATGCCGTGATTGAAACCTCCACTTTAATATTGCAAAATGCGTCTGAAGTAAGATGAATTTCTTGCCTGCCGCAGCCCCAGTGTCCACGGGGGTGCGCGGCCTCAGCAGCCTCGTGAGTTCGCGATTCAGCGCACGTGGCTCCAGCGGGGCCCAGCTGCCGCTCACGCGCAAGACTGCTGCAGTCGCCTCCGCTGGTGGCGTTCAAACCTCCGTCGAAACGACCACTTCCTCTCCTCTGTCATCCACAGCCGGGACCGGAGAACATTCTACAGCTAACAACAAATCGCTGGTCAATCTCAATAAATCTACGCTACCTTCAAAGACTAAGGCCGGAAGAACTTCTAAAGAATTTAATTGTCCTCCTTTTGCTCCGCCTCTTCAGTGGTTCTCGTCATCCGAGGCATCAGGGAGCTCTGATAGCTCGACTCAATCCTCTTTCATATCCACATTCCATCCTTCGTTACGGTCCAGTTCCTCTACTGCTACCAACAACTCCGGATGGTCTCAAAAAATTAATTTACTTCCTGCTTCTGACGTGTCTGAGTCATCCATTGATAACGTGCATGGGGTTTCCAACGGAGAATTGCACAACGGAATCTCTGTTGCCGACGAACACCTTTTGTCTTCAGGAGCTTCTACTCCTACACCTAAAGATACACGCACCAAAAATATTGATAGTGCCACTAGTTTTTTATTAGATGATAACACTCCTTTGCACTGCAATAAAGATTTATCTTCAGATGAGGTCATTCCGGGAAATTCAGTCGAAGGCGAACACCGACTTAATGTACATTCTAATGGGCTGCAGCAACTCAATAACAATGCTGATCAGACAGAAGTTACTCCTGAAGTGAAAGCTGTCCTGGAATCAAAGTTTCAACCTCTTGATGTGTCAATGTTGCCAGAATCTGTTTCTCAATTGTCGCGTGATAATTGTAACGCTTCAGAAACTTCAAAGCAATGCTTGGAGTTTAATGAAGTAAGTTAATTAATTCATTTCTATCTCCTGCTGGAGCGTTAATTTCCAAAAACATTTTTTCATTTTATTATTACATTGACAGCTATTGATCATTCCTGTTCACAAATCTGATTCTGCGAATGCTGTACGCTCAATTGATCAAATTAGTGTTAATTTGTAATCACAGGAATTTGCATCCCTGTATGATAATCATGACTTTAAAAAGTAGTTGCATTTTTTGAACCTTACTTTATTTATATATCTCGTTCACCAGGTTGAATATCTGATTTCTTTCGTACAGGAAACGAAGCTGAGTTCAGTTCAGGGTAATCAACGGCAACAGAGTTTAGACATCTCTGAACATAATCACCGCTCGTCGGACGCGGCTTCTACACACTGTGTCAACAGGTCAAATGTTGCATCGCTGGCCAGTGCTGCTGTGGACTCTCCAGTCGCGTGCTCTGCTCAAACTCGCTCGCGCAGAGAGCCATCCTTCGGGTAATGAGTGTTTTCGCACGTTACGCTCGAATAAGCCATGCCGAGCCCATCTTGGTGCACATACTATTTGGACAAATATTATTGAAAAGTATTTACTTTGAAATTTTCTGGCGTGAGCAAAGATCTGCTGTTCCTCCTTCCATAAAATAACAGAGTTTTTTTGCTCGATGGCTAGCGCCTGTTTTGACTTTTTCCTGCGGTTTCCCATTGATTTATCGTGCGAGATGTATATTTAGGGATCTTTAACTGGACATATCATGACTTAGTACAACTTGCTCAACTATAGTTGTAATTGTGTTAGCCACATCTGTTATCTAGCAACATAATTGGGATCGGTTACAGTTTATTTCAATGCCTAACTTTCACTTTATTATCGTGTGTTAAGATCTGAAGTAAGAGAGCCCAGCGTCCTTTATGAGCTGCAAGCTGTCATTGAACACAGCGGTTCTGCCTCGTCAGGACACTTCACCACCTACAGACGAGGCCCCAACTCATCAAATAAGTAAGCTGTTGCTTCTGTTAATGCTTCAACCTTCCCACTGAGACAGGGCGAATCTCAAATAAACTGTTGCTAATAGTTTAGTAGTTACGTTTGCTTCCTTTCAACTCAGACAGAAATCATAACTCAAACAAGTATGATTTTACTCCTATTTATGTGCTAACCCTTCGACTGCGACGGAAACCACGACTGTGAGTGCAGTTTCATTCTAAGCTTTCGTATTAGATGCCGACGAGTCGTACTTCATATATTCCACGAAGACGCTAGACAGTCTTGTCTTGATCACGTATTTCGTCCCATCAACTGAGTTGATATACACGGTTGATGCTGTTCACGAATTCATCATTAACAGTAATAAATGTATTCCCAGGTATATAATAATTCTGCAAGAGGTTGATAGTTGCACGGACCATCTACACACTATCCGTTTGAGTGCGACTGCATTTTTCTGTATAACTTCAATGCTTCTATCTTAATTCAATTGAATGGAGCTTATATTCTCTTGCTACAATCTCTTTTGAATTAAATGAGAGTTAACATGCATGAATTCCCTGCATCCAAAGTTTCTGCAACCTCATTACTATGATGTTTATATAATAGCTTTAATTCGCTGATATTATTGTGGCTTAGGCAAATTAGGTCATAAATTAGAGTCACAGCTGTGATCTGAAGTTCAAGCCAAAACTTTGATTGCAATGGGAAAATATACATGATTACTTGATTACTTCTTTCTTTGTTGGAAAACAAGTAAAAGAAGTACCTTTCGGTAATTCAATCAATTAAATGTTCAACTAATTATATTTTTCAAAAGGAATGGGTTAGAAAGTTTTTCTTGACATTGATCTCACCTGTTAGCACACATTTATAATAATAGTTGATAATAGTTAGATTTTCGGCGCGAAATAGAACACGACTTTCTAAAGCGCTTGAAAATCTAATTCTACTTATGTCGAAACTTATTGATTTTTAACTGTAAATATATGTATTTTTGGCATGTGCAGCTGGTATTTCGTCTCGGACGAGTATGTAAGTCTGTGCTCTAGAGCCCAGGCCCTCAACGCCGAGCCTTACATCCTCTTCTATGAACGCCACCACAGCGATGCCGCCCCACGCTCCAGCATCGCTCCGACCTCGGCCATCTTCACGTCACCTGCTTCTTCCGGAGTGATTTCTCGGTCTCCTGGCGCTGCTGTACAAGAAGACATTTCCAATATATTGCCGGAAATGAAGGCTTGATTTGGATTCTGTGTGGGATCTTGATCGTTCTGTGTGGGAGGTGAATAAACAGTTCAATGTTAACCTTAGTTTCAAGAGGAAATTCTGTGATAATTTAATTTTTGCTAGCGTCTCTATAACTGCGGTAAGGATGGTCCGTATTATCGTCCGTATCGAGTGTATGTAAGGCTGTGATTATAGTAAACTAACAACATGCACTGTTAACTTGTTGATACCATTCGTCTAGTCGTGAAAGTTAACCTTAAAATCAGAGAAAGCTTCAAAATTGCAAAGTTTCAGAAGTTTCTTCTGCTCCTGCCAAATAATATTTCTCAACCTTCTCCTTCATTTTTTTGCGGGCTTCCTGAAGTTTTTAAGAGTAAATAAATTATTATGGATTCATTGCTATTATAACTATTCTGAATTTGGGTTGTCTTATAACATTCATTGATTTTAGAATCATGCGAGTATGATTATTAATCTTTATTGATTCTCGTTTTTGGGAGCTGTGGCTACTGCAGTCGAGCACTGATAATGCGAAGCGACCAGCAAACTGCATTTTTGGCTTGTATTTAAAGTAGCTTGTTTAGAGAAACTTTTGTTGTCTTATTTTCCTTTTATGTCGAAATTGAACGCATAAAATAGTTTGTATTTTTGTTGTCGGATGTGCAGGCTAGTGAGGCACGTTGACAAATTATTCATTAGCGTTTGTTTCAACTGTCAACATTTATGGTTGTAGAATTGATAGTTATTTTTTATCACCTGCGATTAAACTGTACATTTGATTTCCTCGTTCATTTCCCTGTCTTCATGACATTGTGTCTTTGAAATGTGCTATGCCCTGAACTCAAAGGTTTGCTAAATGACGAGACAATACCAGGAACAAAATTCAAGTAATTAATTACTTGAGAAATTAATCGCGCAGGAAGTCTCCTTAAATGCACAATCATAAATAGTGCTGATGATTTAAAAAAAAATCGGGCATATGAACATCTACAACATTGGATAGTATATTGGGAGTCAATAGTTGTAGTGAGTTAGACGGGAATAGTCGGCATGATTTATTTAGAAATTTTACTTGCAAGCAACGATCTTGCATGTCTCATAAGTTGCAGGTCATAATGCGGCAGGTGCTGACACATGTATATGTACATGTGGTTCTCTTTATGAAGCTTCACCAGGCCGGCCTCAAGACGCTGCACCAGCTGCTCTAGAGATGCTGAGAAGTTGAAGCTGACCTCCAGCAGCACTCTGAACACCATCTGTCGGAATGAGGGGCCAGTCCTAGCTCAATTTTATATGCATGTACGAAACGTGTGAAATCAAAACTCTTCATTGTCATTTGCCAAAAGTACTTTCAATAATAACTGTGGAAGAAAATGGCATGAAGAATTTTAAAGAATTGCAAGATTCTTAACAAGATTTTTATATGAGATGCTGCGATCTCACCTTCATCTTGGCGTCGACAAATCTGTAGAATGACGAATCTGCTCCGTGCATCACAAGAATGCCTCTGTCGAGACACTCCTGGCAAACTGGAGCCGATTTTTGGCAAGAGGATGGTAGGAAATTATATCGAGCGGGCAGTTCGTGCAGAAGGTGTGGATGGTATTTTAAAAAGGCATTAAGCACGTCTTGGTCGTGGCGAGGAGCTGGATCCGAATCAGTATACAGCATCAAATTTTCGGCCAAAGAAATCTTTCTGAGTCTTGTCAAGTTCATGAACATCACGCCTGTGTTGATACCATATTTGCCAGCCGCTGGACGATTGTTCCCTTCTTCTAAGTACCACATTTCAGCTGATGCTGCTATCGCTGCGACATCTCCCATGCGCTGAAAAACTGCCCACGTGTCCTCAACAGGGCCTAGAAAGAGAACATCAGAATCCATGTATATCGTAGCATCAAAGTCTTCAAGCATTTCGGGCAGGTACATTTTGGTCCACGCGCAAGGACGCCATTGCAACAATTGGCCTTCTTTGAACCTTTCTTCTTCAATATTGTGCATTTCAAAGTGCAGTCGACGGCGCTGATGCTGCGGCCAACCGCTGATAGTGGACAGCAGTTCCACGTATGTCTCGACGCTATCCGTCAACAAAATGATACGTATAGAAGATAATTTACTGAAGTATAACATGGATGCAAAGATCACTGCAAATTGCTGTTTTTGCCGTTTCCACGACGTGCGTACATTCTTTTTATCCACGTTGACCCAATCTCCGGTATTTTTGCAAATTACTAAAGTGATGGGAATTCTGGATGTGACTGACTCGTGTACTTCTATCTGTTCTGCCTCAAATGTTTCCATCTCGACGCGACGTACGTTTTCCATAATGAAGCTTAAATTTACTACCGTTGCGAGCGCTACACAGCAACCAAAAACAAGTAAACGTAAATAAGGCCTTCGTTTCATTTCTAGACATTTACGACAATGTAACTTTGTATTGAATCAAAGAAAAATTTAAAGATGACCTTCTCGAACAACTCCAATTTAAATTTAGTCATATCAACCTCGATTTACCGGACACATATTTCGACACTGACGCAAACAATACTGACTCGAAGGCGAACGACGAAAGGAAAAATGGGCAGAGTATTTTGCACAAACTTTCCTGAATTATAGTGAAATAAAAAATTCGAAATGTTCACCGCAATTTGTAATAGTAGCTTTTGATGTATTTTTTGTTATTACTGTCTATAGGAACAGATTTCTCAAAGCGCAGCTTCTAAAATGTTTAAATGATGAGTTTATCTTTTCGAAAGAACTCAGCTTGAAAAAATATTCCGTTTGCTCTGGATGATATTTTCTCCAGTAGCCGCAGGTTAGCTTGCTGAATTGGCGTCAGACATCGTGTGCGCCGTGTAAGTACGTAGGAACCGTTCATAAGAAGAACAAGTGTGCGTTCGTAGCCTGTGTACTGTGTAGAAGAAGTGCAGAGTGTGCGCATCTGCAAACGTGGCTAGTACCTCGGAGTGCTTCGGAGGGTTAGGGTGTGAACTGTTGCTTCTCGGGCGTTTGTCACTATTCAAGTAAGTCGCATTTTATTTTAATACAACAACTTGTGTATGCTGAATCTAATTTCCTTTGTTCATCATTTGCTCATGCCAGGTTTTGATTTCTTACGTAAACTTGATCAAGCGGTTGTTCACCCACACCGGTATCCGGACAGTTACCGTTTTATTAAATACGACCAGTTTCCTGCCCCTAAAATTGTGATAAGAATACAAAGTTCTTGAATCAAGCGATATGACGTTGGCTTGTCAGTTTCTCCACAACTTGAATCTAATCAACTTCAACAGTTGAATTCACTAACCGTTTCCTGTAAGTATTCGATCTCTCAGCCTCTTTCCAACAGCTTTAGTTAATCATTGCCGTTTAATCTGAAAAGACTGAAACAGACATAGATGCGCACGTCGTGAATGGAGAAGACGTGTTGCAAGGGTATTGCTCTGTCTGCTAACCGTTGAGGATTCCTGTAATTAGATTTGAGTGACATAAACGTTACGACCTAGTTTCCAAATTGTCAGTTTGAATTGCTCTAAATTGACGCGTATTTTTGCATGGTTTTGTAAAGGTGCATTGGGAAATTCTGTATCAAGAATAGTTATTTATACGTACCGACATGTATCAGTACTAAGATTACTTGATTGTTTAAATCGTAAGTTTATAAAAAAATTTAAAACGAAGAAATCAGCCAAACAAATTTACCATTTATTATTAGAGAAACGTTTCGGAGTCCAGCTCCATCGGCAGTTCAAATCATATAAGACAAGCAGAATCAATTGATTAACTAAAATTTACATTGATGATAATATAACCTGAATAGACAAATAAATAAAACATGAAGTGACACACCTATATATTTACACTATTTCAATGCCAAAAAGTGCAATATCCCAGTGTCCGATAGTAATTTTGGAGTTCTAGCTTCCACGACCGGTGTTTCTGACCTGCGAATATTAGAATCCCTGGATATTTTTAAACAAAAATCTAGTTGGAATACTGCCTTCAGTTACTGTCCCTTTGAAATTGAATATAGGTAGCCTTGTCATCTCACGTTTGTTTGTTTTTTCTTTAGTCAATTTTTTTTGTTTCTTTTTTGTCGTTTCTTTTTTTGTTGTTGTTTCTGTTTTTTTCGTCTCTGTCAATTTTTATTATCTTCGACGTAAATTTTAGTGTACCAATTGATTCGGCTTGTGTCATAGGATTTGAACTGACGATGGAGCAAGTCTCCTAAGCGTTTTCTCCCAATATAGACGGTGACTTTTTTTGGCCTACAATAAATAATGATTGGGTGACTTACCGTGACTATAAATTGGCTACAGACCCGCAAATTGTTAATTTCCAGCAGCATGCTTTGGTACCGTGAAATTGCGGAATTTTTAATCGTTATGTTTAACCCCATTTACGAATGACTCTGCGTCACTTGCAAGCATCGAACGAGAGGCTGGTTAAATATTAAGTTAAGTTGATTAAAACAAAGCGTATGTTCGACTAAAAGTCGGATGCAATTTAAATTGCATTAACACGCGTTTTGATTGAGTTTCATCTAGGTGAGAATGAAACTGGCTAATCACCGGTTGAATCGCATGCAACCTGCCTAGAAGTAACGCAAAATTTTATTCATTTTTCATTCCCTGCTGTAACAACATTTTTTGTATGCGACTTTAGTCTGTTTACTGGGGGTGAAGTTACATGCGGCTGTCGGGCACTATTCATGTTATCACCCGCACCCTCAACGTAGGTGACGTGTCATTAACACGTCCTCATCCGCCTCTTCACGTAGATGACGTGTCATGAACACGTTCTCAACCCGCGCCCTCAACGGAGGTGACGTGTCATGAACACGTTCTCACCCGCGCCTTCAACGTATAGGTGACGTGTCATGAACACATCACCCGCGTCCTCAACGTAGGTGACGTGTCATGAACACATCACCCGCGCCCTCAACGTAGGTGACGTGTCATGAACACATCACCCGCACCAATCACGCATAGGTGTCGTTTCGTGAAGAGTGAACTCGTCCTCACGCGTGCCCTTCACACAGCTGTCGTGAAGTGCGCAGCTGCACCCTCTGTTCTACACCTGCATTGATATGTCCTATGTTCATTAACGCCAGCTCGTTAGGCTTATGACGCAAACTGGAAAAGGATGAATACTTTTCCTCAGTTCTGCGGTCAGTTTCAAGGCCGAGGCAGCCAAATGACACTAGCGTGTCTATACATTCATCTAACAGGCGCATGCGGTCGCCTCAGGCGTCTCTTCACAAACTCGCTTATTTGCCTTCGCTTCTTCGTACGAACCTTGGCCCTAATGGTTTTATTATGCCTTCAATATGCAATTTTACGATCTGGTCAAAAGGTCGGTTCTTAGATCTCCCATGAAAAAGTCGTGAAAATTACAGGATTCAGCCAACACTTTGGTATGATATGATATTTTACCGGAGGGACATGTATAAATTTTGCTGAAAAATTTTGCACATAATGAGACCCTTTTGTATTTCGCTACTGTTTAACTATAAGATTTAAGAAAATTTCTGGCTGTGGTTGCAGCGTTTTTCGATGATCAAAATATGTTCACTGGGATTGGAATGAGTCTGCGATCCTTGAATTGCTTCCTTCAGTTTGTGTTGATTGACAGGCGCAGTGGCTGCTCTTTCAATACATTTCTTTTCCACAGCGCGCTGTCGCAACTTTTTGCTTTTAGTGATTCGAGGTTGGTAGAGTTACTAGAAAAACTAACAAGCTAACATTTTGTTTTTGGCTCTGACTTCTGCTTTCTTGGCTTTGACAAAACATGTGCTCTGACCTAACTGGTGCACTTTCCATAGAATTTGAAAGCTAATCGACACTGGGGGAACTTGATGGTTGCTTCAGTTATTTCAATGCCGGTGCAAATCTGGTCATTTTTAGTGCACCTCTCACTTATGAATTTAAATTGTTTATTCCATAACTGTATAGATATTGAATTTGAAGACAGTCATGAATATGCAATTTAGACAGTGTTAGCAAAGTGAACAAAGACACTTAATTTAGTGGAGTGACTAAACTGTGTACGCTAACTAGAGTTAATTCTAGACACGTAGTGCGCATAGAGCTCTCTAGGCTCATTGCACACCCTCATGTGCTAACGGCCATGTTTTGTACTGCCGTCTCACCTGATAAGTCGTTATCAGACTACGTAATTCTGTTGTCTCTCTCTCTCTCTCTCTTTCTTTCTTAGAATGACCAGCATTGGTGTGCATGTGGCTAGCGTGACCTTGATATTAAAATTTATCTATCGGGACAAAAAATTGCAGTCGACTCAATGTTTACTCTATAGGTTTTCAATGACAAATTTTTGGTTATTCAACTACAATGTAGTTGAATAACAATGTAGATTTAATTAATTAAACAAATCTACAATGTAGATTTAATCAACTACAATGTTGTTGTAGTTTTTTTACATTTGTGAGTTACGCCAAACATTTACGAGTTCGGTACGTTAAACAATGATGATGACATTTTCAGTACCCATGTTTTGCGTCAGTTTGTGTCTGAATAATCACTTTCCTCGACCTTGACGTGGTATTTTTCCCAATTTCCAGGGATCTGTCAAGAATGTCGGCATCAAAAGACAAAACCGTTTTCGTGACGGGTGGGGCTGGCTTCATCGGCTCCCACTGCATCGTCGAGCTCCTGGAAGCTGGGTACAAGGTGACCATGTTTGAAGACGAGGAACAGATTCCTCAAACACGCGCACGCATTACAATTTTATTCGTTTATTCCCGTCACTCGTCTCGAAAGAATGATCGATATCTCCCTTATCAGCTCGTCATTATTGCCTGTGGTTGATGAGGAGCTTGACTGTGTTTTTAAGTGATATTTTGACATTGCCTCGTTCACAATTTCAAGTGGACAGACGAGGTTTTTATAAGGAATCTCCCACCTCAAATTGAGCAAGTGTGCTGACCGAAGGTGCGATACTTTATATAACGTCTCGTATTTATTTATGAGCTTATCGTATAATTCTTCGGTCGTTATTGTTATGAGAACCCTGACCCTACCAACTTTAATAAAGTCTTCATGTTGTTAGTAACAGTGTAGTAGAAGTCCTGTCGCTATTTATTTCAACGTCAGTTTTGAAAAGATATGGTCAAAATGTCAGTTTATGAATATCCTGTGAACTAGTCACGAAAAGCATGAAAAGTGGCGACAGGCCGACGCTATCATACTATGCTATAATTATTAATTACAAGGAATCTATGCCAAATATAATAACGTTTAGCGTTATTTTTCACGTCAAAAATTAGTCCAAACTGTAAATGTTGTTACCGTTGCGCAAGGAACTTGTCACGATGCTTGCATTTCAGCAACACTAGTTCTCTTGTTCTGATAGAATCCTCTCCCTCTTTATATAATAAATTATTGCACCGTAGATACATTATTATAATTATAATTAATGTACTATTGTTTGGTACACAGGTAGTGACAATCGACAACCTGACCAACAGTCGCTCCGGAGCTCTGAAGCGCGTTGAGGAGCTCACGGGCAAGAGCGTCACGTTCTACCAGTGCGACATGCTCGACGCCGTCGCCCTTGAAGCTGTCTTCGCTAAGGTGTTTTAATTAACTTATTGATACCTAATATTGAGTATTAGAGGAATATGGTATGTGCGCTGTATTCGTCTCGTACTTAGGCTGTCTTCTAGTGTAGGGTACATAGAATACTTGAATATCTTCTGGGGTAGAGAATATTACTATCTAGTGGCGTCAGCGTTTTTTATTAGACCATGTTAGCCATCCATTGATTCACAACCACGGGGCTACTTTGCCGATTTCGACCAGAAATTTCACTATTGCTTTCTCTTTCGATGGAGTTTCGATCCCCTAACTCGCTGCTCCAATCTTGGCCATCTTGAATATGAATACTCAGGCATGCCGAGTATGATGATACTTGAACTCTATTCATGAGAAGGAAATATGTACTGGAGAGTTTTTCTGTATTGTTTTACCACCAACATTGCCTCCTGACCAACATTGTTCTACGCCCAGCACCACATCGACTACGTGATCCACTTCGCAGCGATGAAGGCTGTGGGCGAGAGTATGCTCTTCCCGCTCATCTACTACAAGAACAACGTCATCGGCACCATAAATTTGGTCGAGGCGAGTCAATTCATTGATACATTCATTCATACATTCCTTTTTACTGGTGCTATGTCTGGTCATCAACCGGAATCTTATGAATAAGCCATTGACGTTTTTTATTTACAAAGTTTATCATTCTATTTGAAGATGAAGAAGAGAAGACTGCCACCATTCTATTTAAAGATGAATGATTTATTTTGTAAAGGTTCCTAGCACTAAGAAAGAATTACCCTATGAAAGCTTTGTGGTCTGAATTGAGAAATTATCTCTCCAACCTCACTCGTGTATTCTTTTGAGAGACGAGAAGCGTCCGTAAGTTTCAACAACAAACAACTCGTTAATTCAGTAATGATGCCATTGATGAATTTATGCGAGGATGACGCCAACGGTGTAATGCACTTGCATTTCCTTGCTCATCAATGAAATAAGTGACATCAATAATATGCGTTTGTCTATAGACTTTTATTTTAGTTTGATGTATGTTGAGAAGTTTGAATGCATTCGCGTTAAAGATTTCATCACATGAATGCCTGGAAAATTGAATGGTCACATCGTGATATAACGATGATTCTGCCACATGAATAGATCGACACCTGCTGAGGCAGAGTCTGCAGGTGTGAAGTTTGCAGAAGTTGAATAGGCTGCAGAATTGATCGCACTCTTTGCATCCGCTGAGTCACAGATCTCTCATTTGTCAAATTAAAATAAAATTTTTTGGTCTCTTCATTAATTCAATTCGATGAAATTCTATTATAAATTTATTTAATTTACAGCATTATAATAACACGAATATATTTCATTGTAAAATAATGAGCACGGTTGCTTCACTTGCTTCTCTTTGTATTAATTAGTTGGATTTTTTAATCATTGATTAAAAAATCCAATGATCTCATCCAATCTCTTAGATGAGGCATCATAGTATGCATGAACCGAAGCTGTGTTTAACGAATCGGATACGTAATATAGGTTCAGGCTTGAAATGCCTAGCACCATAGCGAACCCAGTGGAAGTCTAGTAGCTATTTCAAACTATCGTCTGTCATGAAAATATCAGGTCAAATGACACGATTTTAGATCTTCTGTGAAAAAGTCACAAAAAGGAAAAGAATCGGCGACAGGCCACATCAGGCCTACTCTTCGGCGCCGACATCACTATGTTATGCTATGTATTCACTTCATGTATGAATGACAGTCTGACGAGTCGCGCTTTCATCGCACGCATGAATGACAGTCAAATCTTCGCCGCAAGCATGAAAAACATTAATAATAATACAAACGCGCATTTCCTCGCAGGCGATGAAGAAACACAACGTGACTCAGCTGGTGTTCTCGTCGTCGTGCACGGTGTACGGCGACCCTGCAACGTTGCCCATCACGGAGGACCATCCCACCGGCAACGTCACCAACGTCTACGGCAGAACAAAGTACCTCATCGAGGAGATGCTCAAGGATCTCTCGCGCGCTGACCCCGTGAGATATCCTCAGTTATATCTAAATCACTTGATAATGCGTTGGAAATTATCGATAATCCGGTTTCGATGGCTGCTGTTTATCTAAATTCGTTTATAATAACAAGAAATTTGTAGTAAATTTTGTTTTCATGGCTGCAGTTTATTAACATCAGTTTACAATAATTGGAAGACGGTGCTAATTTGGTCTTGATAGCTGCTGTTTATCTAAATCAGTTCAAATGAGTAGGAGCTTGTTGTTAATTTGGTCTCGATGGCAGCATACCACCTTTAACAGAAAGATAACCATGCAACTGACATGGCTCTAATAAATCTTGAACGTGTAAATGCTCTCAAGTTATTATTTCCTAAAATTGAGCTGGTTGATCTACGTCGGTAATAATTAATCTTGATGGAACGATAACCATTCAAACATATTGGCAAGGACTCGCTAATGAGCTCTTTGCTACACATGTATGCAACAAACGAAATTATCAACAACTTCTGGCTATAATTACCCTTCAAGTCCAGTAGGTAGTTGTTTCTGGAATTGTGTTGTTATTAAGTGTTACTTATTTGACCAGGACAAATGGAACATCATTTCACTGCGGTACTTCAACCCGGTGGGGGCGCACCCTTCAGGCCGCATGGGTGAGGACCCGACGAAGCCCTTCACGAACCTCATGCCCTACATCAGCCAGGTCGCCATCGGCAAACGCGACAAACTCACCATCTTCGGCGACGACTACGACACAGTCGATGGAACTGGTCGGTACCTGCGACCATTCCTTTATTCGGGGTTCATGGGAGTTTGGTCTGGAGTTATTATGAAAACCTTTTTGATATTTACTACGTAGGGTAGACTTGTTTGTGGAGAATTTTTCTAAGAATTGTTTGTGAAATAATTAAACTCATTATGGGAAACTCATCATGAAAGATTTATTATAAAAGTTTAGTTTGGTTTAGTACATATATAGTATTGACTTTGATTGACGTCCTAAAATAGAGGATTCGTTGTACGGTACTTCAAGGTAGACTAGTTACAGTATTACATCAAGAGCTAGTAAAATTAACTAACTTTTTTCGATTTCATATTTTCCACGTAGAATTAAGTGCGAACTCTTTTAGGAAAATTGTACTCAATTTTAATAATTAACAAATTATTTATAAACCAAAAAGCAATAGATTTGAAGGCCAGGTTCATTTCTGTGTGGGTCACTTTGCAGGAGTTCGTGATTACATCCACGTGATGGACCTGGCCTCAGGGCACGTTGCTGCGCTAGATCGCCTCGACTCTGAACATCTGCGGTACAAGGCAAGTGATTTTATTTCTTAACTTGGCACTCGTCTCTGCCGGGTTGTAAACTTTCATTTGATTCTTCATATGACATTATTAGTTGCCCATTGAGTGACTCGTACTAACCATGCTGCAATTGTGTCTCAGAATTACAACTTAGGTTTGGGTCATGGTTTGTCGGTGCTGGAGTTAAAGAGAGAGTTCGAGAAAGTGTGCGGTAAGATTGTGCCGTACGTGATGGAGCCTCGGCGTGTGGGCGACGTGGCTACTCTTTACTGCACGGCGAGTCTCGCCGAACGTGAGCTCAAATGGAAGGCTACCCGCAACATTCAGGTCATGTGTAAGTAGAGTAACCGCGTCGTGATGGGTAGTGCACTTGCACTTGACCCTGGTAGTGCACTTGCACCTGACCCTGGTAGTGCACTTGCACCTGACCCTGGTAGTGCACTTGCACCTGACCCTGGTAGTGCACTTGCACCTGACCTTGGTAGTGCCCTTGCACCTGACCCTGGTTGTGCAATTGTACTTGGCATCGCGCTCGGCAAAGACGCCTGGCTTCCGCGCTTCCGCTATATCCTGCTGTTACACTGCATGGATGAGGCATGTGTCGTCTAACCTTATAGAGATGGGGAGTGTGTCTCGTCTAAACCTAAATATACAGCCAGTGATTAATTCAAGTAATCGTGGAACTGCGAGCTTCTGGTCAATTTGGTGACTAACGGTTATTGATCGGGTCTGTGGTTTTTTCATTACTGCAAATCAACCAGATTTTGAGTATGTTTTAGCAGATTGTATAATTGCCAAGCTAATTGCCGATCAGCTAAGGATGTACGATGTTTTGTATTTGCGTTGAGCCTCCACTGGCCTGTTTAATGCTTTAGCTCGGATGGCTACGATTTTGTTTTACCATAACAAAAAATGTGGGATGATAAATGGTTAATATTCATCCTTGCGACAACAACGAAGCTGCATACACATTCAAGCAACACTTCTAACAATTTTTTTAGTCATGCTTAAAATTCTCTCACAGATGCCAGAACTACTGAGAATTCTTTCAATACTCTTAGTAACCGATCTAATATGCCTGCTGCATACAATTTTGCCTGCTGCAACTCTTTTCACCCGTTGCCAGATAGCTCCCTTAATACTGTTTATTTTAGATCTTGTTCAACATTAAAACAAATTAATTTACCTACTTCCTCATTTTACACACATTTGATTGACGTGGTCCACTCGAATTTTTGAGTGCGAAACCAACCATTTTTTGAGGTACTTGTGACAGTAGCCGGTCTTTTTGAGAACGGAATACAAGAACCCAAATGTACCGATGCGTCATGGCGACATGTTTTGTGCAGACGTACAATCTAGGTACAGGCTGTGGGGTGTCAGTGTTACAGCTTGTACGCGCATTCGAGGCCGTAACCAAGACACAAGTGCCTCTTGACATCCAGCCTCGCAGAGAGGGAGATATCGTCTCCATGTATGCTAACACCGATTTATCCAAACGAGAACTCAAGTGGCAAACCAAATACACATTGGAGAATATGTGTAAGTCACGATTCGTGATTGGCATGTTGCTACTCTAAGCAAATATACGTACTTGCATAAATACAATCTCCACTAACTTTCTAAAACCACTCTAACACAATCCTTTCTGCTCATACCTAAATTACGTTGTCACGCCATACATACTCTGAAGCTTGTTGTTGAATGTATATACTTTTCCATCTTCTTGTTGATGATTTACTGTGCATTTTGTTACCTAATATCCTCGCTTTTTAGTTGTCCTAATTTTATTTGTTCAATCAAATTCTGCCTTTTAGACGACCGCCGTTTATAATTGACCTTAAAATATACACTGGTTCTACTGTTGTCGCGGATCAGCTCGTTTCTTGTCAGTGGCCTCCATTTTGAACGCACTTTTTTTTCGTTCAAATGTGGCTTCGCTTTTTAAACGCTTAATGTTTCCGTTGCTAAAAATTTTTCGTCTAAAATACTTTAATATTTTATACATATAAGTAAGCTACTTGCGGTCTTGTTTAGATGAATTTATATGATTAATTGCACCTAAACAATTTAAAACGTGTAAAGTTTTCGCGATTCATCTGCAAAAATATTGTAATTATTTCCGTATAGATTTGTATTTCTAATTTGAATTGCAGTTCATGATAAATCGTCTGAATCAGATTTCAATATCTGAGTTGAGATAATAAATGTTAAAGACTGTTTCGATGTTGGTTCTGAAGATTGTTCAGCTTTTAGTGTTGCTTGACTTTCAACGCTCGCCGATTCGCTTTCTGCTTATGCATCATGTTTTCTTACAACATTCGCTTGCCTTTCATTTCTAAAATTTCGTTCAAAATCTGATATTTTCTCGGAATGCTGGAAACCGCTAGTTTTTCACTGTCATGATGCTTTTCTTCTTAAACAATAATTTGACATGATAAGCTCAATACCATGAGAACAACTTCAGATGATGTTCAAGTGCGAGCAACTTCTTTTAAGCACGAGGGAGAACAAGATACAGAAAATACAGACTTCACGTTAAAACACTTTTAAGAATATTGCAATGTTTGCTTGTTTACGGCATGGCAAAAAATACATTATGGAATACGTTTATGGCAATAAGGGGGCAGTGGTACTTGTGATTCATTGTGAATTGCATTCACTCAATGCTTGATTGTGTAGCTACCCGCTTTTTTCGTCACAAGCGCAATCCCCTTGCGTATTGAGTTGATTCATTATATGGGAATGCTTATGGGCAAGTCATAATTTCTTACTAATTTCTCTTGCTGAATCCTGTACTAAGCTTCTCATTGAAGTTATGATGAATATAATGTAATATGGAGCGTAAGGCTGTTTATTCTGTCCAAGACTTGTATTATTGAGTCTAGCTCTATCTTTATGAGCTAATGAACAAATTGGCTATCCATGTTCTGGTATATTGAGTACGGTACCTATATAAAAAGTATCGTGTACGACGGAACTACGTAATTCTTATTTGAATTTTACACGTATTCTCTAACATCGCCCAGGCGAGGACTTTTGGCGCTGGCAGACGCAGAACCCCAACGGATATGCAGACGACGCGCCCTACGAACCTGAAACTCTCTACGCCTCGCCTGTCAAAGCAGCCGCCGCCTCCCCGGCCGCCGTGAGCGTGAGCACCAACGTTGCCAACGGGCACTGAATCTTGAACGGAAATCACGTCTGATAATGGTCGCGCTATTCAACGTGATCACGCAGTGCAAATGACGTATATTGGAGTTTATGCAAAAAACGGTATCGGCTAATTTAACGCATTACAGATTGGATGCAACAGGAACAGAATCTGGACTATGTTCAAAATACCAGAATACAGAACTTTTTTCTGTGTATTTAATTCCTGATTGTGCCAGACAGTATTAAACTTTGGGATTTTAATCAGCAAAAATGATGAGTTATCCATGGGAATCTTGCGTCCTATATTTCATGGTGTAAGAGCGATATGTAGATTGTAACTACCGTACTTCGGTTAAAGTTTCAACTTCAATATGACATATTATATGCATCCACTTTCAGGCAGGTAAAGACCAAAATGCTACGTTACGCAACCTGTGAAAGATCGGTATATTTTAGCACATATAGACATTATGAATAAAAGTTTTGAGTCTAATAAATTGTATTTTCATTTTAATTCGGTCAATGTATAAATCGGAGAAATGCGCTCAGATAATATAGCAGTTGAGTGATCGCATGGCGCTTAGATGCGGGGTCGAGATTAACGGTACGGGCATGCCGAGTTATTCGTGAAGTAAGAGTGTATGAAGATATACAATTCTTATGGATTTAATCACTTGCTTGCATACCTGCCCACGGGAACGTGGTGTAAGTCGCGTTCCATCGCACTCATAACGCAGCCTCTCCGAGCCGTACGTTAAAATAGGTATCAAAACAAGACGGGTAAGAACTATGTACTAGACGGTGTACGACAGACGCTATACAAAATTCTACATGCGGAGCAAACACTCATCTCTCTGATGACAGCATTGGCTTAAACAATGACTACACGAGTTCATGCGTAGATCATCAGCAATTGAATTGTCTCTGAATAAATATCTTCACCTTGCTCTAATGAGAAAGTATGAAATACAGTTTTTCGATTAGCAGCGACCTGAAAGTCAGGTTTTAAAAACAATTCTCTTATTTCCCGCCACGTGAAATCTGCTACCGCATTCTAATGTACATATCAAACTGATGCAAGACCCAAAGAGGAGGCACACAACGGAACATATTAAATGTCGACAGGGGAATCAATTTTCCAAGCATAATTCGTCCAACAATAACAAAATTCTCTAAACTGATGGGATCACATACTTTCTTCTTGATTCCGTGACATTAGGTTGAACAAGCGAATTGTCTTAGTAATTCATAAGACGAAAGAATGAACGCCAACGCGAACTGAAAGATGAAAGAGCAGATCGCCGTTGTCTTTATTATCCTTCAAGCACACAATAAATTGTCCATACCTTTTAGAAGGCTGGCAAGGGTTACGTATGGAAGCCAAAATTGTCGCCAGCCAGAGCTGACTGGTGAAAGAGATGACAGCCGTCGGGTGAAAAATTGCACCGACGGCAGTCACCCGTCGGTTGACTGCCGTCGGGTGAAAGTGAAGACGTGTTGCTGTCGGTTGACTGCCAATTTTCAGCGGGAAATAATGAGGGACAGTGACCAAATAGATAAGCAACTCTGATCAGGTGTCGGACGTCTGCTCAAGCGATGGAAGAGGTGAAGAGGGCATTAAACAGAAAATGACCTCAAGCTCTAAGCTCAGTTAGGAATCCTGAGAGGAGACAAGTATGTAAGTGGGCAAGTAAGTGCTAGAGCGAACATACGAGGGACACCATGCATACCATAACACACATCAAAACACAGATTTGCTATAAAAATAAGTATTGCAGAATACCATTTGTCGAGGCTATTTACAAGGGACTAACATCACGAAAAATACGCACGTATGACAAGAGCTTCAAAAAGAGTTGGCCACATACAGCAACGGTGAGGGAAGCTCGAGAAAGGCGAGCAAGAGATCATCTGTTCAGAGATAATGACGAACAATGAAACTAAAATGCAACGAAAAAGAATGAGACAGAGAGTTGCCTAGCCGACAGCTGGGCATACTCGTATTTCAAATCAAGCTGGCATGGACTGTTTAGAAGTCGATGGTAATGCCACCAAATCCACCGAACAAGTAATAAATATTCAAGAGATCATAGAATTTGATACATTTCCCAAAAATCACGTCTTTTCAAATAAATATGCATTGCAATAAAAATCAACACGATGATACGTGGGTTGAACTACAAACAAAGATTCATACAATGTAATAATTTCAATACCAAAATAAACAATCCTTAAAAAACCGATTTGGGTACATATATGACAATTGTTTTCGATCCGTAATGACATCGAGTTCTCTGCCCAAGAGGAAGCACAATTATAAGAAGGGAGCGTTCTAATCTTCGTCCTATTTTTTAATCATAGATTAATCTATTCACTCAAGTACGCAGTGCAGCATACGAACCGTAACTAAGAATAATTATGATAATTCATGAAATAGATCACAGTTGCCTCCCGATAACGGCATGTATGAGGTCCAGAATGACAACCAAGCGAGATTTAAATCAGGCCGTAGAAGACATCCGAAGCCTTCGGCTTTCGAGATTTTCTTACACGGTCTCATGAAGTAATATACTCGACGGAGCTTGCACAATTAAGGCTTTTGGGAGTCCAGCAAACCGCTCGCACCGAAGTTGTCCAGACATAAGCCTATAAGTTCTCCCTGGTGCAATACCCATAGCTGGTTCGGAAAAAATGTTCTGGGGAATATCCAAGCATGGGAGGCATGAAAGTATCCAGTTTACTGGTCGAAAAAAAGCAAGGACGTGAGAGAAGCATGTCGACCGATGGTCGCTTCCTCCGCGTGAGGCGAGAGCTAAGGTCTGAAGGAACCGGGCGGAGGGGGCGGAGCTGGAGGATTCAGGTGACCATAACGATCTCGGTCAAGCAGCAGCTGTCGATGCAGCTGCTCAGCTGCCAGCTGAACAAATACAAGTAATATAAGCAAAAAGTAAAAATAATAATAAAATTTACACGAATATCAAATTGACATTAAAATTCAAACAATAAGGACAATCTGAAAATCTGAAATAACCGACTGGTTTGGGAAAATTGTCTTCCGCGATTTTTCAATGACTTAACAAATAATCTTCCATAATTTAGTTAGGAATATTGAGCAGCAAGTCTAGTTGAGATCATGTACAGACAACAGTTGACTCACTGACACTGGAAGAAATTTCAACAAAATTCAGTAAAGTTGAAATCGTCATACTCGTAGAAGTTCTTCATTCATCACACACTTATATGTACAGATAATTCAAAATTTGTTAGACATACGTATAACGGCTACTTTGAAAAAACTTACTGGAGGTTATACTTTTCGCCTACCTGAGAGAGAGGGTCATCGTAGGGAGGGCGGCCCCCTCCGAGGAGAGCGGCGACAGCAGCGGCGCTGGCGTGTGACGTCACGAAGGGGCTGGGGGGCAGTGAGGGGTGGTGCTGGGGGGGCTCGCCAGGCCGCAGTAGCTGTCGTTGTGGGTAGGGCGACATCACGGCAGCTGCTGCTGCACGGTTGACAAAACTGCATCGTACACTCCGCTTATTAATCAAAATTCTATTATAATCATATTATTATTATTTTATAATGAATAATAATCATAACAATTCATGAAATAAAATTAATTAAAGAAACTGGCTTACGTCTGCCGCGCTTTGTGAAAAAAATAACTTAGAACTGTATACATTATATTAGGAGATGTTAATAAACATAAGAACTAATCGGTTAGCTGAACCCAAATTTCTATGTTTCCTCTAGCCGGCAAAATTCTATTTTATCGGATCTCATACAAGCAAACTATTTGCCAATCTTCTAGATTTTTTAACTAACAGATGAACAATATTGATTTTGATTTCATAACAAGTAAAAAATGAAAATAATTAGTTTCATAAAGAGATAAAGTCAGACCTAATCGCTCGTATCGATCTCGCTCAGCAGCCGCTGCCATGAGTGCAGAAGTAGCGACTGAGTGACTATGAGCTCCGTAGAGGGAGGCGTTCACGTAGTGGGGCGGTGGGTGAACAAAGCTGCTTGTTGAGTGCGGGGCGAGGGTACTGGGTACAACGTGAGGATACCCTGGAGGTCGTCCACCCAGCCAGTGAGAGGCTTGAAGGGAATGATGAACAGCAGCGTCGCGTTTCAGCATCTCTTCCTTGAAACGATCGTTAAGCTCACGCTCACGGAAATCGCGCTCGTGCGCTTCAAGCTCGAGTCGTTCTCTGGATCCAGGAGGATAGAGAGCGAGAAGAGTAGCGTAGGACATCATGGGGTCCAGAGAGGAGCTCGTACACGAAGGTCCTGCTGAGGTGCTCACGGGGGGCGCCATGACAAGGCCTCGAGACGAGCCGGGGGAGAGGCCTGAGTGCGCGCGCCCGTATTCCCTGAACAAGGAAATGTAGCTGAAATATTTTCATGACGTAGGCCAAATGAAATTTCAATCAAACATGAAAATATGTAATGCCTTAGCAACAGGTTAAAAATTAAAAAACAATTAGAATCCTCGGAAACACACAACCGCCCAAAAAAAACCTCACAGCTCTTCAATTATTATTTTTTTCCAATTTTACCCAAACAAAATCTTGCACATGACCATGCTCTATTTTCTGAAATTTTCTTGACTTTTCAACAATATTATTTGTAATTACCATTAAGAAAGAAAAAGAAAAATTGAGTCAACAAAGTTAACTTGCATTAACTATATTTGCATAGCCTTTTCAAATTCATGTTTGTTCAAATTAGGACAGAAAAGGTTCTTCAGAAACAACTTACCCAAGTCTAGCAAGCTGGGAAGGTTCAGGCGCATTGCGTGGGGGCAAGAGTCTGTCGTAGAAGCCTGCAGCCGCGGCTGAGGGGGGCGGGGCGCCCAGCATGGCGGCCACAGCAGCAGACCCAAGACCTGACCTCTCCTCGATCATCTTGGGGGTGTCGCCTCCTCGTCGGTCAGGAGTTCCACTAGCGGCTTTCCTCTGATCATCAGTTCGACGCATCATTAGTGAATATTGCAGTTAAAATATGGCGAATGTATTAATATTGAATTAAGTATATATATATTTTTTTTAAAGGCCTCCCACACTCACCATTCCTACAAAAAAAAGGGAATTGATTTTATTAATTAAAAACAGGGAATGGTTTCATGTCAAAGATCAGGGCCCCGACCTTAACGCCTCTGATGGTGGCCTACACCGACTCCGAGGNCCGGCGTACCACCTCGTCAATTCCTAAAGAGAATAAAGCAGGGCCAAAAGGATCGCCTTGCTGTATGCCGGTCGCGGATACCAAACTCGACCCCCCAAAGAATAGAGGGGACGGTTCCGAATATGCTTGGTACAGCATTCTATACATTCCCTGCGCTTTCGCCCGCGCAGCAGCCAGGAACACGTCACGTCGCAGGCTGTTGAATGCATTCGCCATGTCAACCTTGAAAAACACTCTCCGGCCCGAGGTACGCACGAGCTGCATGAGCAGCAGCCTCGCACCCACCCCTGGTGGAGAACCCCAATTGGATCGGCTGAAGTGCTTCCTCTATTAACGGAGACAATGGCCATGCTCCAACCTTGGTAGCCAAGCGACGCAAGGTGTTACCAACCGCTACGGGGCGAATACCCCCGTTTTTTTCCGTAGGGCGCATAGAGTGGCTCCATAGAACACCGGTCTTGCAAACTCAGGAACCCGCCCTCCAATCACCAGGTTGACGAACCCGGTAAGGGAGGCCAGTAGCCTCGCGCCCGCCTCACCCGCCTTCCGCGAAATCAGGGCCACCAGATGACCCGGGCGGAGCCCGTCCGGGCCACCCGCCGAACCCGGCCTGAAGGAAGCGATGGCTTTCCTCACATCCTCTTCCCCTACGATAGAAGGAGGTGGGTAGTCCTCCTAGTATATTAAAACTAGTGAACATACGAACCCAAAATTCGTAACAAGTGAATCTTTACAGTACCGAGTTAATCTCTACAGTACCGAGCCAATATCTACAGAAATGACACGGTACGGTCTAATTCCACCATACATCAGAAGCTGCACTAGTTTGTACGGCACCTGCGCACGCTCGCGGTCCTCCCTGTCTTGCTGCGCGAGGCGGCGGGAGTCGCGCTTCCTGGCGAGCTTGCTGTCCGGCACGGGCTTGAAGATGAGGTCCGTGCGGGCACACGAGTTGTTCTCACCACGGTTCCAATGTCTCAGGAAACTGCAACCATCAAATTTTTTGCACATTTTCACTTTACATATTACATAGAACTTAAAATTAATTTGAATTGATACTTATATTAGATTAATTATTAATAAATTTCTAGCGAGTCAAGAAAATTAACAAATAGCGCAACGAATTTATCTGTAAAAGCATGAGAAAAAGCCTCGTTGACTGTAAGGCAAATGATTAGACTTCCCAGTTCATTTATTGCAGTGGAAGCCTGAATGGTTTTTCTGAATAAATTACAAAGGATATAACTCACATGGCACTGCCAGATCTGTGGCACTCTGAGTCCTCAATCTTGGGCGGAGGTGATGGCTCCCTGTTCATTGAGTGCTCGTCTTCATCGTCCTCGCCGTTGTCGTCCTGGGACCCGAAGACCGCCATGGCGGGGTTGACGTTGGCGGGCAACGCCTGCGTGGTGGGAGGCGGATGCTGGGACGACGATGGCGCGATGCGGTGAGCGTTGAGCGGTGTGATGGTGGCGGGGCCGGTGTGAGCAGCGGGGGGTAGGGGCAGGGGCATAGAAGGGTGTGATGAGAGTCCTGGAGATCGGGATGAGCTAGGCGATGATGCAACTTTGTGTGATGGCGGAGGGGGAGGGAGGTGATGGGGAGGCAAGCGCGAGGGCGAGAAAAGTGGTACCTGGGAATGCGCGGGGGGAGCTGAGAGAGGAGCGGAGCGCGATACGGCAGAGGTGGTGAGAGTGGAAATGAGGGACGGCGGTGGAGGCAGGGTCGAGCGTGGCGGCGTCTGAGCGGACTGAGGAGGCGGGCGATGAGGTGACAGTACGGAGCGAGTGGAAAAGCTATGCTGCAATTGCACAGGTGAGAAAGGGTATGAAAGGTAGGGATAGTGCTGCATTGAGGAAGCAAGGTGAGGTGGTAACCCTCCTGGAGGAGGAGCTAGAGACGGAGGCTTACTCTCAGCTTTTATCTCTGCAATAATCTCTGGCTTATCCCGATCTGCAGGCTTCTCGTGTTTGTATTCGTGAGGCCGCGCGAGCAAGCTGCTCTCCTGCTTCACGGTCACCAGACCCTCAGTTTTCACACTCACCATCTCATTCTTCACTTCGGTTTTAGGTTCAACTTTGGGCTCCATTTTCAGTAGCGGCTCGGGCTCGACTTTGGGTTTATGAAGCCTAAGGGGAGCCTCCTCTTGCTTCAGTTCCAGCTTGTGGGGCGTAAAGAGGTTGCCCAATCTTGGGTATCCCGCGTTTTGGGAGGAGGCAGGGGAGTAGGGGTGCGAGGAGTGTGCGGGCGGCGCGGGACGTATAGGCAGTCGTACGCCAGCCTCCAGGTCAGCAGGTTTCGGCAGGTGAGGAAAAGGTGAAGAGTGGGGAGATACGGGAGGAGCTGGCACGGCGGGCGGTAGATGACGAACTTTATCTGCGATGCCGGCAGGGGAGATGGAGGCCATGATGGCGTGGGGAGGACGCTGTTTCGCCGCATGTGAGGCGGGGTTGGAGTGATGGGCGATCGGGATGAGTGAGTGAGGCGCGTTGGCGCTGGTGGCCGGAACCGAGGACGGTGGTGGGTACGAGTGTGCCGGAGGGGGAGGTTTAGGAGACTGGGAGTGCGACACGAGGGGAGTGTGAGGACGAGGAGAAGCCCCAGCAGGCGGGGGGAAGAGGGTAGGATGCCCGTAAATGTGGGAGTGTGAGGGCATGGACACTGGAGGGGGAGGGTAAGAAGGGCGTGCCATGGAGGCAGTTGGCAGGGAAGGAGCTGTGGAGTACGGGGCGACGGGGGTGTTGGAGTACGTGACGGAAGGAGCGTTGGTTGCCGGGGGCGGGGGGCCGAGCAGGAGCCTGGGAGGCGCAGAATAGAGGGGAGACTCAGTGCGCGCTGAGATATCAGAGGAGGAGGACGTCTCCTGAGGAGTAGGAAGAGGAGGAGGAAGAGAAGGAGGAGGAGGAGAGGGATGAGGCAGACCGGGATGACGGTGAACAGTGAAAGGTATGACAGAGGAGACGGGCGCAGCCGTGCTGACAACGCTGCACGTGTCAGAGCTGCTCACCACCGCAGCAGATGCTGACGAGACAACGACTGCAGCGTCGTTTGTGGCTTGGCTATCCCAGCTCTGAGGACACCAAGAAATTGCGCATTTAACACATAGTAATAAATGGGCGGTGTCTATAGCAAATACAACTGAACCTTATTCAGCTGAACCGGCGAACATTTGCTCGGTTACAGAGATGGATTAAACCACTATGTGAGCGCATTAAACTTGATTTTTTCTATAACTTGCTCAACACTAAAACGGACTTGGAGCTCATAAAATTACTCAAAACTCAGTGGTCGTTCCTACCTAAGACAGCAATTTACACCTATTTCAAGATCCTATCCCTACCGCTTCAACACTTGATATAACCCATTTAGCTATAAAATAATGTCACAAATAAACAATAAATAAATATGATAAAGACACAAATAGAAGGAAGTAGCGTTCAATATAAAAAAGGAATACTGAAAAAATATACAATTTAGAGCTGCATAAACAAAAAAAAATAAATTCAACATAAATTGGTCAGTAGTGTGAATTCAAGAAAAATATGATGATTCAACTATTCATACGTTGAAATATTGAAGGGGATAAGGCACATATTTATTCACATGTAAATATCATACAAGAAGTGACAGTAAGGGAGCATTCATTTAGCACACTATCACACAACATAAAGTAATATCAAGAAGTTGGTAATTCGTTTAGTGGTACCAAATTTTACATTAATTACGCTCCTACATTTTTTACAAGTTCAAGGACACCGAAATTGCAAGAAAACTATGCACAATTAAACATTTAATGGCAATTGGATGGATACAAACCAAAAAGCTGGAACTGTACTCCTTTTCTCGAATCATATCGATCATCAAACAGGGATCCAAGCAAGCCTCCAATTGCACTTAATCATAGCAATCATGGATACGGACGCCACCAACTCGTTGCTTTGTTGAACTGAGTAAAGTAAATTCGCTCGTGGCATCGAGTTGCTAAGGAGCTTCGTCTGGCATTAAGTTTAGGTAGAGGCAAGGGCGCCAGAGGAGCTCGTACCTGCAAGGGAGACGCCAGGTCGCGTTTTTTGGGTAGTGTGATATCGCTGCACTCGTCCTCGTTTCGGATGCGCTTAGTCAGAATTGATTTCTTGGACTCCATGCTGGCCAATGGAGACGGTCGATCCTCCATCTTGGAAATAATAAACGAGTTAAGGGGAGCGTCTACCCTAAAAATTATCTCGGCTATTTACAGACGGATCACTCTGAAACTTGGTACCCATATGTAAAACCGAAATCTAAGACTTTTTTGTTCGTGTGAATTTTTCGAAAAAAATGAAAGAAAACGTGAAATTCATAGAAAACTGCCAAAAAAGGGGGTACCGTAGAAATCTATCTCCTCCTAGGATTTTCAAGGTACAACATCGAGACACATATCATTCGATGCGTAAAGACCATATCTAAAAACGTCACTTAGCGGTTTTTTGGATTTCTAATTTTTGTGGGTGTGGCAGCATTTTTTCAGATATTTTTTGAAATTTTTCGATTTTACCCCCACCCTCCCCACTTTTTGCAAAATAAAATCCGAACTAAAACGAAATTGGAAAAACGACATAGTGACGTTTGTAGATCTTCCCTTTCAAAATCGAATGCTATATGTCTCATTGATGTAGCTTCAAAACTCTAGGAGGAGATAGGTTTTCCGTGACAATAAGTGTGAATGTTGAGGAGAGCGCGACAAAGTCCCGCGCGCACCACAATATGCGCTCAATGTAGCATAGATTCCAAACTAAACGTTTCTGGAGCTTGATTCCACTCAAAGATGATGGGAGCGGCTACATGCGCATCTCTCGCTACAAAGCCCGGAGGCACACTGAGTCAGACCTCACAAAAACACTATATTTGTAGTGGTGGACAGCGAATTATCTCGTATCTAATTACTGAAAGAACTTCCCCCCGCCTTCCTTTCATGAAGTGTCGTGTACGTGAAAATCGACGTACAGAGATGGTAGTGGTACCATTGAATAGGCCAGAATGTCAGCTTTAAGATGAGACTAAACACGTAACTGCAGCACAACTCAAGTAGACACTATATTTAAAGAGCTCAGCAGCTAATAAGTTCCTATCTAATTACTTAAAGAACTCCCCCACCCGCCCCCCTTTCATGAAATGTCGTGAAATCATAAATCAACGTAGAGCGATGGCAGTGGTACCGTTGGATAGGGCAGAATGTCAGCTTTAAAATTAGTATAAAAACCGAAAAAGTAAAAATTTTCAATTTCAGGGTAGACGCTCCCCTTAAACATTGGCACAATATCTTAATAGCTTGCAAACAAGTTACAAATTGGCACAGTATCTTAATAGCTGCAAACGAGTTGTACATTGCCATCTCTTATTAGTTACAAAACAAAACAATCTAGAAGAAGTAGGACATCGTAATTGGCTTAAGAATTACGGCTAATAATTAAAACGTAAATTACGGCAAGTAGGATTTCATATTACGATGGAGAAGATAACTCGAATTTTCGGTGGAAATTTTGAACAAATTTTGAGTGTGAATTTGTATACCAGTAGCCCAGGAACCTACACTTGTCACAATATCAAGTGTTCTGTCGAGATGATGGTAAGTATAAAATTGTGGTAATGAAGACTTTAAACAAAAAAAGTTGTTAAATAACCAGAAACGCTTACTAAATAACCAGGAAACCATAAAAGAAGAAATTACCTTCTTAGGAGCAGGCGAGGCTGACTGCCGAGGTAGAGGCGTGCTGCGGCGCTCCATGTTAGGCATGGGATCAACTTCGGAACCAGAGTCGGGACTGGGAGTGCTGTCATCTAAGCTGGCTGGGGTACTCAGGTTGCCAACAGAATTGCCGGCCATTGTACTGACATTGGAACCTTGGTTCAGGTTAGATGAAATTCCGTCAATACTGGAATCTTTGAGAGGGGAAGCTGCGGCTGTGACGGCTTGAGATTGAGCCGAGTGAGTCATGGTCGTGGATGCCGTTGTTATGCAAGTTGATACGTGGCAAGAAACCGCAGCTGCGACGGATGTCGGTGCAGAGGAAGTAATCATATTGAAAGAAGAGTTGGGGGTATCAGGAGTGCTGGCGCGAGAGCGCTTTTGGCCATGTTTATTTTGTTGAAGAGCTGCTTGCTGCTGCTGTGGTGATGACGTCAGTGGAGTGAGCTGTTGTCGGTTGGAGGTTGAGGTAGGAGGTGCAGGTGGTGTGGCAGCCGTGCTTGTAGAGACACTACTTGACTGGTTCTGTTCTTTGGTACGAGTACGGGTGCGAACCATCCGCACTTCCTCTTCAACCTGCACAATCATTTAAACCAATTAATATTGGTTGCTGCAACATTTCCGTTATCAAGTCATAAATTTCGTAACACCCCAAAAGCGTGAATACAATCGACGGCAAATAATTTAATTATACCCAATGACCCACTTATAACTCTTTTTTAACTTAGTTACCTGTTGTTTGGAGGTGGGCGTTTGCGTTGATATTGGGGGTGGTTCACGTGGGTTGATGATGATAGGCAAGTCTCCATATTTTTTGAAGTGTATTCTACAGTCGTAACACAATAAGCTTTTGTCTTTGCCAGCATGGTGCCAGTCTTTAGAGCCTATTGGGATAAGGAAATTGGGTATCATTTCTCTAAGGGCAATGATAAATAAACAATACAATGAAATTGGCATAAAGTATCTAGAATGTACTGCACATGTTAATTCGTGGAAGATCAAAAAATGGCAATACAAATGTTTTCAAGGGTAAAATGTTTTTCCTGTACATACGGCAAATCATTAATGATCTCAAACTAAACCAGAGCTGCACAAGCATCTCTATATGCACAAAAAGACTTGCAAAAATACCATAATAATTTCCTAGCTTTATGAAATAAGTCGAATAGTTGTTTTCTCTTCAGAACAAATACTCGGTTATTTACTGGTGGTATAGCAATGCCTGCAGTGGTATCCTTGTCTGTCTTTGCTGTCACTGTCATCGGAGTCGTCCTCGCGCTCCGATGTAGATGAAGGATCTAGTGGATCTGAAGGAGGGTTGTGTCGAGGAGCTCGCGGCGTCCGGATCCTGCGCAGGACGTTCTGCCGTCGGTGTCTACGATGTGGTCTGTGCCCAGCAGCCGCCGGGGTCTTCTTCCACAGATAATAGTGTGAGACCAGCTCGCTCTGAGACACACAAGACAGGAAACGTGAAATCCTGGGCGGCAGTGGGAGACCAGCTCGCTCTGTGACAAGACGCAAGACAGGCAACGTGATATCCTGGACGGCAGTGGGAGACCAGCTCGCTCTGTGACACACAAGACAGGCAACGTGATATCCTGGACGGCAGTGGGAGACCAGCTCGCTCTGTGACAACACACAAGACAGGCAACGTGATATCCTGGACGGCAGTGGGAGACCAGCTCGCTCTGTGACACACAAGACAGGCAACGTGATATCCTGGACGCCTCAGCAAACGCCAATATGGCGTTTGCTGAGCAGAATGCAATACAAAACATTCCGACCAGTCGTCATCGTTCAAATCGTTATGATGCTGCGTCTGGTACCTTTGTAGTTGGTCTGAAATACTGTTAATGCTCCAAGCAGCTGCATTTAGGTACTGCAAGAACTTCGATAAAGTCTATACACATACGAATATAGAAATTGTCACAAATAATTTTCGATCAAGTAATAAGAGAGTAAATTACAATTTGAACAAGCAAATGTTGGAGGGATAAAAGTAAAAATAAGAAAACAAATGAAATTAAATTTACCAGTCACAGGTTGTCATTAGTAAGAAACAAATGTTCAAAAAAATTCACATTAAGCACTATAACGCCGAACGGGAGACTCCAGTTCAGTAATCATTGAAGATATAATTAAGTGATCGTAAAAAAGTCAGAAAGTGAATCACTAGCAGATTGATGATGAAAATGTAAATAGAGGAGAATGCTTACAGTTTCCTTGTGCGATAGCAGCTCCTTTCGTATTCTGAAGAAATTTTTGCCATACAGACGGAGTCCTTTGATGAATTTTTTCTGGAAATTAGCAAACTAAAATCAGTACAGTACAACTAATTGAATCATCGGGCAGCGTGGTAATAGACAATTGCAAACATGAATTTCATGGACCACAAGTAAATGGACTCGTAATAAATGAAAATTTCAGTTGCAATGAAGCCCTTAATAATGAGCCAAGAAATAGATTCCTTACGTTTTCTTCTTCTGTCCACTTCTTGTCTATCCGCTGAGGTAACGGACACTTGACCAGCTTCTGGAGCGCCAGGTCGTGGTCGTAATCGCAGCTGTGAAGCTGTACAGAAATTTATTAGATAAATGTGAAGCACAATCAGCATATAATAAAAATTACACTTGATATTGGAATCCAAAGCAAAAAGTAGTAGTACCAAAATCAAGTGATAAGAAGCTCACCACTGAACACATATTAGCTCATTACATACATAAAAATTGATTGATGATTAAGAAATTTATATTTTATGCCAACCTCAATAGTCAAGAATACACTAGATGCAGTATGAAAAACTCTCTAACAGACTAAATGATCGTAAACCCATTGATAATTTTATACTTCAATTTATCCAATACCTGTGGAACCAAACACAAAAAAAAACATTGTTTCACAAGCTGAACTGAGAAGAGTTACTTGAGTACTAACGATTTCGAGAGCTGCTATGGTGGTGTCATCGTGAGAGGCCGCCTTGCAGCCTTCAGTTGACCCAGAGTCGACAAGACCAGCATATGCAGCCATGGAGCGAGCTGCTCTCAAGAACATGATTATGTCAGTGTCTTTTGCCATACCAGGCAACCAGCGAATTTCTTCCAGAGGTCGTGTTGTCTGCACCACGCGAGGCTCCCCAGGAATTTGAGGTCTGCACAAGAAAATAACTCAATGGAGTAAATTTTGGAGCACAGTGAAGTTGCATGATGTTCAAAATAAAGTTGGACAGGTAGTACAGTATCTACTAATATAAAAATGCTGTAAAACGGAACTAATTATCTATACTCGGCAAATACTCACGATAGACATTCTTCAGAATGCAGTGCACATTTTTAAAATGATGTAAAGTAATCACGGGCAGAAAATTTCTACAATACTTAAATGAAAATTATAACATGACTAAATCAGTGGACAAGGAATTTAAAAGCAAAGAAAACGCCAAGAAAATTCACCATATCAATATTGAAAACGTTTCGGAGTCCAGCTCCATCATCAGTTCGACTAAACTAAAATGAATAAAATCACTTTAAAAGTCAAAATTCAAAGACAGACATAAAACCTAAACAAGACCTAACATTATATCGAAATAAACAGGACTAGTTATGAACAACTTAGTCCTAGGGGTACGACAAGAATATATAATCCTAGCGATTTACTATTTCCAGATTTCTTGGCGTTTTCTTTGCTTTTAAATTCCTTGTGAACTTGCGATTTAAGCAGACAAATGATATAAGTACTTATATACGATCTAAATCAGTGGATTCATGAATTAAATTATAAACATCCAACTACCCAGTAAAAGACCGGAATAAAGCTGAAAGAAAGATCCAAAATATTTTCAACTAATTGTACAAAATGAATAAACTTCAGAACATGACTCACTCAAACTCAGGAAGTTTTGCTTGATGAGAAGGTCCAATACGAATCTCGCCCTGTGTACTGGCGAGTCGACGGGTCTCTGGATTGTATCTGCACATTAAAAATTTTATGGATTATTTGCATTATTTTACATTACATATAAAAATAACACTACCTAATCTTTCCAATTGGATGTTGTGAACTAATTTAACATTCAATTATTTGTGAAACACAAAAACTAATGACAAGAACGATTAGCAAGCTCTCCCATAAGCCATCAAGCTCTCCCATAAGCCATCAATATATCCTCATAAACACAAGAAAGGCCGTTTTTTATGATGGGTAATATTTTGCATGAAAGCTTTAGTAGGCAAGCATGAAAAAAAAAGCATGGCTAAACTCACCCCAGGATGTAGAAAAAAGAATTTTTATCAGGCATGAATTCCCGTACAGCATGGATGTCAGCATAGTGGTCAACGCGACAATGCCCCCGTAAGACAGACACTGGGTATGTGTCTGTTGCATCTGAGATGAAAAGCTCACGAGACTTGATCAGAGGCTCATCAATTGCCAGCGATTTATTATCTGCAAGAAACACAATTTTTGTAACAACAGAACAGTGTAGTAGGCATGAAAGCACAAGGTAATTAAAATTATTCAAATTATTTTCACCACAAAATGGGAATTATATCTCATCTTATTTGCGTGACAGCTCAACTTTGCTAATGTGATAAACTTTTTTCTCAGCACTAATATAATAGAACGCATAGAGTTAAGAAAATCTCATCAAAACATCACTCAAGCATTGGAACATAAACTTACTGTTTTCTGTGTTTCTATCCTGGACAAGAAGCTGGTAAACTGTTTCAGGAACTTCAGAGGGTCTGTAGAACCATTTTATGTTGACCATCAGGTTATCTCTCTTGCTCTGTAAAAAATAATCATTGTCACGTGAGCAATCAAAGTAGTTAAAGGAGAAAAAATTGACTAAATTTAAGTATTTTTCATGATAGTTATCAAAAATACAGATGTAAAAAATTTCAACCTATTACCTGAATACAACGAGCTAAGTTGGATAGTATAATTGACAGGAGCAAATAACAAAATTAGTACATAAAATTAGTATTTCATAATTTTTTCAGTTTGGGTTCACATGAATGACAATTAAAATGTTGAAAATACAAAAAATTCATCCAAAATTAAAGTAAATTTTTATGCTAAAAATCAAACAAACATATAAATGAAGACTCACACGACGAAATTCTTGTATAGAGCAAATGAAGAACGGTTGGTCAGCCCGTTGGCTCTCAATGTAAACTGAATCTGAAAAAACATTTTACAGAAAACCTGAATTTGTCTTTCAATATTCAAAATGGACTAATTACAATACTTTTTTGTCAATATTCAAAATGGACTAATTACACTTTTTCAACATTACCTCTTGTGTTAGCAATAGATTACAGTAGCAACCTATAGAACTGACACCCTTTTACTGCATAAAATATGATTGGCAAAATATTCATTATAAATAAAAGTAGAAAGATGTTACTGAAAAATCCATATTACCTCCTGGTCTGTAGAGCAGAGTGTCATCAGCACAGTAGTAGGAAGTATAATCTCCGCTAGGTGCTCTGTATGCCTGACCACGGACAGGCTGCTTCTTGCCTACCACAGTGGTCATGACCTGCAAAATGATTGAGTTTTCAATGATAAAGTAATGATAAATTAAAATTATTTAATGCTGGCATGAATTTCTAGACAAAATATTATATACCTGACCCAAGTCTGTATTATGCATTCATTGCTGAAATACAATGAAAGCCAAAATAAAGCTTTTTGGACAATGTTTATATACCTCTTCTATAATAGTTCCATCAGGACCATTTGGGCCTCCTGGCACAATTGGACCACTGGCAGGCACTTCTTGCTGAGGCTCATTGACTGCATCTCCATTGCTGCTGCTACTATTGGTGGTGCCACTACCACCACTACCATTTGAAGCAGATGAGGCTGCTTGGCTACTGCCTCCATGTTGTTCAGTGGTAGTCATGGCCTGATCATCTCTGAAAAGTAAAAAGATAATTATATAGTTACATTATTCATTACAAAATCTTGGGCAATGGGCTTATGCAATTTGCAGCCATGACAAAAACTCATAACCAAGAGTTCAATCACTGCGATTCGGTGCGAGTTACAAATTTGTTTTCCAAACCACAAGAGAAAGTATTGAACTGGGGCAGATTTTGCAACAAATTTAAAATTTTACCATGAAATACCAATAAAAATAATTTACTTCACTTTAAAGACATTTTCAAATTTTTTAATGCATAAATTTTTTTACAATGATACATTATAGTTAAACTATACGAGAGTAATTGCAACTACAATGTGGTCAGGAAGATGTGCCAGGTATGCAGGAATTTTTATTATCATTGCATCAATTTGCGCTGTGCGCCATAATATGCCGGCAAAAAAGTGCACCATGCACCAGCCTGCACCGTGCTCCTAAAGTTGTTTAGAGATGAATGTGCAGCAATGCTATTGTGCACGAACAAATATCTGCATCAAGTTGACTAGATTTCTAACGTGTTAACTCAGGTTCTAAGAGTCGGCACAGTTATGAATATTTATTCATTATTCATAGATCACAATTCGGTTGGAAATTAATCACAAAACTGAATAGTAGAAGGCAACAATCCACATGACTTGAGATTGGTTCCTTCTAAAGAAGGACTGATTTTGGCAAATAGTACAAACCCAAATGTCAATGTCAGGAATACATTATGTTCCCGACATCCTCCCAGCAGGAGAAATGGGTTTGTTTGGTGCAAACCCATTGAAAACAAAGATACAGGCACCACACTTTTTAGCACATTTTCTCATTTATGGAAAAAGTGCACTATTGTGCTCGCCATATCCATCTGTCTGTCTGTCCGTCTGTCCGTGACCTCAAGTTTTCGTCAACAAGAAAACACGCTCTCTGGCACTCACTGCTGTGAGAACTGAGTTATATTTTTTTTTATTTATCAGTTCTCATTTTTTTGCAACTTTGAAGGTTAATTATATAGACTAATAACGAACATTAATGAAATATGAATACCATAGCTTTCATATATGAATATATGAAATATGAATAGACTCATCACATGACACATGCATGGCATAAAAGTATGGGACTGCATTGCAGTCCCATTACTCTCATACTTTGGGACTAAGTATTGCATAAAAGTAATCAGCATTGCGTAAAAGTATGTAAATACGATGTTGGAAATTTCTGATGACAGTTATGTCTAGCCATACTTTATTTACACAAGATTTCGCACTTGAAACTATTTTCCATCATTTAGAATGATGAAATTATTTCTGACTCCTTTCATTAACCAAAGAATCTTTAATAACCCTATCAGCGCACTAATACCGGTAGTATATATAGAACAAGCAAAATCTGTCATTTAACACTAATATTTGTTTACTTCATATGCCCAATTCCTGAGGACTTGGTTATTCACCACTTGCCTTATACGTCCGGTCAGAATATTGCCTCAGGTCTGGACAGTCTACGGAAGGTAAACAAACAATGTTTGTCAGTTCGTATAAGAAATTTGTATAAAATTTCTTCAAAAAAAATTTCTAGATTCTTACTTTTACAAAATTTCCACATCAAGGAAAATCATAGATTATTGATGTGGATAATTAAACAAATATTGAGTATTATAAGTTTTCTGTCTCTTGTCCCTTGTCAAAATGTATCTGCGCGCTGTGCCGACACTTGCGCATGCAAGCGGGGATGGCCAGAAGTTGCGCTGACTGTGCACAGCAATGGCTTAAAAAAGTCATACAGCGTGGAAAAATTCCGTTAAAACATACATCATCCTGAGTGTGGCAACTACATCAAAGTCAAGATTCACTCAAGAAAAACTTAGTATGCAGAATTTTTAAGCAGTAAATATGGTAGGCCTACAGAATGCCTACTGATATATCATATATGTAATATCAAATTTATTGGAAAACATATTCGCATGTCAAGATTTTGGGTGCCATCTCAAAAGCCATTAACATATGAAGGCAAAAAATAAATGCTGGTGTCCTAACTCCAAATTTAGAAAATTTCAAAGAATGAGACAAAGATACCATTACATACATAAATGCACTTTATGCAGTCAGTTTAACTGGATCCTGGTTGTCATTTTAACTGGCTCTGCAGACCGCAATCAAAATTACATTTTGAATTCTACAGCTACAAGTCCTACAACTAAGGGGAATAAAAATTAACTGTTTTCTGAAAGATATTTTGTTTGCCTGCCACTCACCACTGTCAGTCTTCATAAAATGATTAAATTAAAGAACAAACAAAAGGATTAAAGCAGGCCTTCAATGTGAATCACAGAGAAAATTAATACATAGACTCATAGTACTACTAGTTCTCTAATAAAGTGATTACTTAGGTGTTTTTTTCAATCTTTTAGATGAAATTAGGTACGTTTTGACCTTAGGAGTTAGGACAGCAGGCCTTCAAGGCTTCAATCTCTTGAATAAAATATAAGTGTCGGCACTTGGCACTGAAGAAATAGGCCAATGGGGCATGGGCCATGGCGGGCATGGCCTGTTGGCTGTTGCCGATTCTTGTACTTTTTGTGACTTGATTCACAAACACAAGGGAATGGATCAATATTAATATCTTGGTACATAGTGGCAAAGCAGAGAGTTTTTTAGACTCTCCCTCAAGTTCATTTTTGAGTCCTATAAGTAGACCAATAAAGTATCCTGGATACCAGCATTATCATACATAATAAATTGGTTTAAATCTTTAGTAAATGAGGAAATTAAAAATGAACTGATTCTAAAAAAGCTCTGGTTTGAACTTTGCCACTATGTCTTGGTATAATATCAAATATCAATCCATGAGCGTGATCTGTAGAAATTTTGAAAACCTTGATTTGTGGGTACTGGGTTCAGTGGGTTGACTCATGACTCTCAATAGATTATAGACTATAAATATAATTTTATGAACTTGACAAGTTGACAGAGTTTTCAGAGTGATTAGTGAAAACTGTGGAATCAGAATTTTACGAGAACTAAAACCTTCAATAAGGTTAGTATAAAAAATCTGGACAAATCCATGCTTTCGAAAATTTTTGATTCTTAAATGAGTTTGAATAATAGTTATAATTTTCAGAACGCGTCATTAGCAACGTACCCAATTGATAAACCCAAATTCTAAAGCGGGCGACCAGCTACATCCACCACTAAATCGTCACTAATTCCACTTTGTTGTTGACATACGCTTGTCAGTGTTGCCACATATCTGTTTTAAGCTGTTAATTTTTTTCATCTGTAAAATCCAACACGATGTATATAATAACGATTCAAATACCACTGATTCTGCATCCAAAATCACACTTCTATTTTCTTTGATAACAATTCTAGTCCTGATTGATGCTGGGTTGAAGGTGAACAATTCTAGTCCTGGTAAACAATGAACGAGATTCAGCCTTTCAGGGATCATTTCCAGACCTTACGAACATACATTAAACAAAGCGACGATTAAAGGGATTACGACGATTAAGATGCAGATGAATAAAGAAAATTTCACTTTAGGAAATTTAAAACCAAGAAAATCTCTTTGATTTTAAATGAAATATTTTATTACGTGGGTCAATTCTAAAAATGTGTTGAAGGTGTCATCTGCTCGTGCAACACACTATAACAACTTGAAAAAAATTATATATTGGTTTGCAAATATTACTGAATAACTGAGGTCTAGCAACACTTACGTTAAAATAATTGAATTTCCTTTACAGTTTGTTGTTAAATATATAAATGTTCATTAATATGCCTCTTTTCAATCGGAGCTATAATTAATTTTTAATTTGACTTTTTAATTTACTGAGAAAGTGAACAATGCCTCCTCTTAATTCGTATGTTCTCAATAATTCGTGCGACTCACCAAGCTTTCTATAAATACATGTTTTACTTACTTACTTCGACATCAATCGTAACGCATTAAAACTTGTAAATATGCCAATTTTTTAATTCTATCCAGCTCCAAGACATCTTTGAAAATGTTTGTTCCTTCTCGATTTCATCCGTATAAGCCAAAACATTGGAATATTTTTGAGAAAATTTGTAATAAAAACTGGCATTGAACGCGATCGTGTCCATTTGCAGATGTGAATCAATCAACAGAAGCTTAATTGACGTATTTTCTGGTGAAAATTTAATTTTTCTAATGTTTTTACGTCGACTTAATCACATCTTTTCAATTGAAAAAAATTGACATTTGAGGCAAACCTGTTGTTATTAATCCAGAAAATGATCGCCAGTTTCTGACACAAAAATATACCGTTATGTGTTTCGTATAGCTACTGCAAATTGGTTAAATTTTCCACGGCCAGGAGCCAATTATTTTGAAAGCTCTCACCAAAACACAACATCTGTCATCAATTAGTTCCTACTGAACAAGTTCGTAACATTTATAAAATAAATGAAGTTTGCTGACGCCTTAACAACGTTGAAACAGTGTGCCGTGTATATTTGTCAATGTTGCGGTGAAAAAAAGTTCGCTATCGATTAATCGAGTATATAGATTATATGTTAATAAGATGAACTTTGAAGAATACAAAGCTGAATGTTTTGCAATAATGCATCAACGAACTTTGATGGCCTAGGATCCGCACATGCCATTGTATACATCAACGCACGTTCATGTATCATTTTTAATAATTATATTATTTAAGGGGACGATAGAGCTTCTATTGAGTACCGCACCTGGTCTTCCGTGATGGAAAGATGCAGCCTCGATCATGTTTGGTTGTGGCAGACTGGCAGTTGCCTCGGCTTCTATATACTTAGAAATGCTGGTAAAGCTTAGACACAGCACGTGTTTAAAGTTTCAGTTCGATAAATTTATTCAGGATCTTGAAGTAGCACCTCGAAAGTAGCACTTCAAGTGGCTGCTCTTGTACCTAGAGCTCACGTCATCGGTTGCGGTTCAATCATTGTTGATCCTCTTCTTCGGAGTTTGACAATTGGACGGTTATAAATAGCTGCGGTGGATAGATTAGCAGCATACCATCGTGGTGAAACTTTTATTGCGAGCAATTTGCATTCCTTAGGCAATTTGCAGGTCCTATTTTAGTCAAAATCGTATTAATGAAGTTTTTGAACTGATGATGGAGTCGGACTCCGATAAGTTTTCACTGCAGACAAAATGAATTGTTTGGCGTTTTCTTTGATTTAAATGCTTAGTTCATATGACAAGTTGCAACGTGTCCGTCATATCCTAATCTAAAGTAGAATTGACTTTGCATATAAATTTAAAAACTACCTTCACATTATCTATCCATGAAAATTTGGAATTTGGGAATTTATGCAGAATTTGTCACAAATTTTCATAAACTATTGAACGAGTATTAATTCATTGAACAAACCTTCATTGCTGCAATTCTTCTAACAATAATTAATGCTCTGTGAGTCCAACTGAGGAAAGTCTAATTCTCAGCTCGGATTTTTTTGTAGAAGGCCGTAGACTGATTTTCGGATAGATAAAACATAGAATAAATTTTCATCTAAATGCATTACCTAAATATTGATCACAATCGATCATTTATTCGTCAACTAGTCGCCAATCAATCAACTATTTGCCACATACAAACGTACACGTATAACTCTCATTGGATGTGCTCTACTGATTTTTAAAATGTGTTCTAAATTCATGTAAAGAAAAGAGCACTTTTTGCCCTCATGTGATGGTGCCCTCATTTTGATGGTGACTTCAAATCTTAATTCCGCACCAAAGGATGGGCAACTCAGACGTCGTCCACCGCATGTAGATTGGGTCTCTTAAACAAAATTAGCGGAGCCTCACGTACACGACATACATACGACATTCACCAGATGCAAACGATCAGTCACATGCAGGCTATATCAATCATACAGGTCATTTTTTCGTAACAAGAAAACGATCGCTTATTCGCCACATTCGATCGATCACTTGTTCGCCACATTCAGTCGATCATTTATTCGCCACATGCACACGATTATTTATTCGCATGCACATACGATTAATTATTCGCCACGGGCCAGCAATCACTTATTCGCCACATGCGCACAATTAATTATTCACCATACACATACGATCAATTATTCGCCACATGCGAGTGATCACTTATTCGCCATGTGCACATGATTAGTTATTCGCCATATATATACGATCGACTATTCGCCTCCTGCAAACGATCAATTATTCGTCAACTAGTCGCCAATCAATCAACTATTCGCCACATACAAACGTACACGTATAACTCTCATTGGATGTGCTCTACTGATTTTTAAAATGTGTTCTAAATTCATGTAAAGAAAAGAGCACTTCTTGCCCTCATGTGATGGTGCCCTCATTTTGATGGTGACTTCAAATCTTAATTCCGCACCAAAGGATGGGCAACTCAGACGTCGTCCACCGCATGTAGATTGGGTCTCTTAAACAAAATTAGCGGAGCCTCACATACACGACATACATACGACATTCACCAGATGCAAACGATCAGTCACATGCAGGCTTTATCAATCATTCAGGTAATTTTCCGTAACAAGAAAACGATCACTTATTCGCCATATGCGATCGATCACTTGTTCGCCGCATGCAACCGATCACTTATTCGCAACATGCACACGATTAATTGTCCGCCATGCACATACAATTCGCCACATACCCACGATTAATTATTCGTCATACACATGCGATCAATTATTTGCCACGTGCGAGTGATCACTCATTCGCCACGTGCACATGATTAGTTATTCGCCATATATATACTATTGACTATTCGCCTCCTGAAACGATCAATTATTCGCCGCAATCGATCAATTATTCGTCAACTATTCGCCACATACATACGTACACGTATAACGATCATTTATCCGTCACTCAGGAACGACCGCAAAAATGCACCGGTAAAAACTGGTAACCCAGTCTGCTTGTCTTACAGACCCGTCAGCTTTTCAGACCCGTGTAACTATGATTACACGGGTCTGAAAAAAATCTGAAGTTGTTTTTATTTCTGAAAGGGTGACTTTTTTTTGCACTGATTTCGTTTTTGGTCACGATAACTTCAATTAATGCCTTGATAGGGCATTAATCTAAATTGAACACTCATTTTACATTTAATTAAATGTCTATAGCACCTCACTTCCCACCACAATATCGATGAATTTTTTATAATTTTTAACGACGTCAATATTTTAAGTTTTCCGTTTCCATGTTATGCGATTTATAAAGCGTGGAAGTGCACATCCAGCACTAGTATTAGTGGGTATCAAAATTTGTTAGAAACGAGAAAATAGCTAAATATTTTTAATCATAAAGTGTTAGACAATAATTTACTATCAACGTGTCAAGTGTTCATGGAATAAAATCACGCAGGAAAACAGCGAATAACCTCACCATTGCCTGCCTATTATTTGTTAGCGTGAAGTTTTTACGGGAAAATTATAGCAGAAGTATAGCCGCTGTTAAAATGCATTTTTTCGAACGACAATGCCAATCATTATTCATTAAAATTGAGTCCCAGCAATCATTAGACGTCGACTCAACGTCATTAAAGACATTACGACGTAATCAACCAGCAAGCGACGATGTTACAGCGTTAGTGGCGCGGTGGAGCGGATCTGCTAAAGTGGAGCGCTAAAATACATTGGGGGTTTCAAATTAACGAATTTAGCAAGGCAACTTTGATACTGGTGACATTTTACTTGCTATTTTTGGTTTAGAATAATAACCTGATAAAATATGAGCCATTAAAATATACGTTTAAAAATTAATTTTTGAAGACAACACTTCTAAAAAATCCCATGTCTCCAATGTACAACATGTACAATGAATTTCTAATTTTAATTTCGAATATTAAAAAATTAATTTTTTGATTATTTTAATACCTAAAAGAAATTACATTTCAAAATTAATGATTCATGCATTGTCTCCGACTTTACGCAAGTCTGCAAAATTTCAGATAGATTGGATAGCTAGAAGTGTGTTAAAGATTGATTATAAGATTTGTAGCAGACAAAATTATTTATTAGTTTTTTTAATATTAAAAAAAATTATTTATAAAATTATTTATTTTGTCATTTGATTCATGCATTGTCTCCAACTTTACGCAAGTGTGCAAAATTTCAAATAGATTGGACAGCTAGAAGTGTGTTAAATATTGATTATAAGATTTGTAGCAGACAAAATTATTTTTTAGTTTTCTTAATATTGAAAAAAAAATTATTTATTTTGTCATTTGATTCATGCATTGTCTCCAACATTACCCAAGTGTGCAGAATTTCAGATCGAAAGGATAAGTAGAAGTGTGTTAAATTTCGATTATAAGATTTGAAGCAGACAGAAAGACAAACAAGAAGTGAAGTTAAAGAGACGTGTTGTAATAATATACGTTTAAAAATTACTTTTTAAAGACAACACTTCCAAAGAATCCAGTGTCTCCAATCTTACAGATTTACAATGAATTTCTCATTTAATTTTCGAATATTAAAAAAGTTAATTATTCAATTTTTTTAAATATAATTTTTTTTAATATATATTTTTTTTCAAAATTATTTATTCTATTAATTGATTCATGCATTGCCTCTGACTTCACACAAGTGTGCAAAATTTCAGATCAATTAGACAGGTAAAAGTATGTCAAATATCAGTTATAAGATTTGTAGCTGACAAAATTATTTTTTCAATTTTTTTAATCTTGAATTTTTTTTTCTAAAATCATTTATTTTGACATTTGATTCATGCATTGTCTCCAACTTTACACTAGTGTGCGAAATTTCAGATCGATTGGAGAGGTAGAAGTGTGTTAAATATCTATTATAAGATTTGTAGCAGACAAACAAACAAACAAACAACAAGAAGTGAAGTTAAAGAGAAGTGTTGTAAAAAGGAAGTTTAGACGACGACACTTGAGAAACTTAATGAACTCTGGGACGAATGAGACTGTATTCTTTGTTCTTCAGGATGACATCATCAATACAGATACCGTTTCTGAAGCTCAGTGCATTCATACAAAATATTAAATATGGCTCTAATGGCTTCAAATTTCCTTCATTTAATTATGTTAGAAGACATATTTCAGCATTTTAAATATATTATTTGCGCCATTTTTTAATTACTCACTGCGGGCGACACAACTTTAGTCTACCCAAATCTGCTCTTGCTACGTGCATTAAATGATCAATATTTCTGCAAATAAGAAAATTAAATTTGTCGTTTATAAAATTAATGAACCCATTAATTAAAAGTTAGGTTGTGGTTTTAGCTTAACCGACCTTGCTGGGAGTCATAACTTGTGTCAGGGACTTCAGATGTTGAGCGTACTCAAAGTTTGTAAAATAATTTTGTAGTTTATCTTATTTTATTTTTATTATTCATTTATATATTATATTTTACTTTTATTATCTTATTTTAGTGAGAAATCGATTAATCGATAAACTTCTCTAAGAAATTGCTTCGTGCTGGCATTAATCATTGTTAATGTTCAATAAATGTTATTTAATTGTTGTCTCATGCGGCTCCGTTTCACTGTATCATGATATATGTAAGAAATGGATACTTGTGTTCAGACTCCAAGGGTCGAGAAACCTTTCAAATGAAGGACCGAGCCTATAGGTAAGACTGACGCTGCTCAGCAGCAGTTGAAACAAAGCTTGACTGGTGAGTAGGTGGACGAGTGAGTCACGCCACATCGGCCACGATGACGATCTTCCCCAATCAAGTTCTTGCCGAATATCGGCATGCTTTCAACTTTATTGTTGTAGTTATATCGAGAAAAAAACGCAAATAAAATGATAGAACTCGACCATGCCCGTACCAACCACACTTTTGTTACCTCAGAGCGTGGATTCACTTCCATAAAAATCAGATCCATAACGCGCTTCCATCTACGCGATGAAGCATCGAACTCGAATGACTGTTGACATTTTCGACATAGTTGCATTTCTGGCTTAATTTTTTATCACAGAAGAAAAGCATCTCAAACATTCGCACTAATCGATTTTAAAGAAAGTGTATAGCAAAAATGTTAGGAGGTAATACTAAGGTACCATTGTCAGGAGGTAATAGAATAATATCCCACGTATATGCATAGTGTGTAGGTTTAACCTGAGAAGTGGAAGAAGTAAGCTGGAGTTATGTTGTTTTGCTCTTAATAATGCATTACCTGCAGGATTAAGATAATTTGAAATTTAATTGGATTATATAATGGCCGTCACAGCGGCAGGCGTGGATTACGCGATAATGTTACGCCGTCATAGCGGTGTTAGGGAAATATAGAATGTAACGTGCTTTAATTTGTAATTTTGGTTTTCAGTATAACAATTCGGAAGTTAGATTTGTAAGGTTATAATACGTTCTAGTCAACCCCGCATTTGAATCCACAGTGTCAGGGAGAGTTCGGTAATTCAGATTAAAGAGAGTGGATTTACGGAAATTTCCTTTATTTGCACGCCTTCGTTGAAGTCCACGTAAACCTTAAAAGTACTTCGAGTACGGCTGGCTGGCCCGAACCTGGGTGACTCGAGCAGCGGCAGGCGGAGCGGTATACATGATGGTGTTAATATTAAAATATAATGAAAAAAATAGCACTCTAAAATAAATTTTTATCACTATACTAAATATTAAAATCAGAGTTTCTTATAATATTTTTAATAATTGTTCGTCCATTTTGTATCTCTCACTCGATAATGAGTTATGATGTGAACTCATACGATAAGCTACAAGTCCTATGTAAATAAGGAGCGTTAACTGTGAATGATTCTACCATTCATGTCACAATAAATCATATGGCACTATTCATCTTAAAACCCTTGTCGGCTCACGCAATTTTCAAGCACTGCTCTTAGGTTGCGATTCTCAATAATCAAAACACATCTTCTTATCAAAAATGATTATGGCCGAGCTAAATTTACGACAATACCAATCGCATCAATGGATCGCATTTACAACAATACCATCAACATTAAAGCGAAGACATTACTTCTAATACTATTCACGTTTTTTATATTGAATTTTAATACAATTTAATAGAGTATATCAGCGGCTTATATTACATCCGACAATGCCATGTTCATAACCTTAAGTTATGAGACACTCGTATTTGGAACCAGATATTGTGAATTTGACACGTGCAAATTCATTAAAAGAATACGTAAATTTTTTTTTGAAATAGTTTGGTGATATAAGAGTATTTAATTCTGACGAGACGTGTAACATAGCTCACGACAGACGAAATACGTCTGTGTCTTAGTCAAAATTGTATATTCATCCTGTTACCCAACTTGCGAGACTATTAAATATCGATGCAAAGCCCATATGATCTTTTTCTCGGTTTCAAACATAAATTAGCCTATCGTTTTTCTCCCTGATACCGGCGTATGACCATTTCTATTATTCCGTAGCGTTGCATTCCCAGAACAAAGCAATCCAACAGAGTCAGAATTAACCCTCCTCAATACGAGCGCCTCGTAGCAATATTCAGCTTTATTGGCAGCAGGAAATTCATACCTTTTGCATAAGAAGAAACAATATTTTATAGTTGTTTGTTGAGGAGAGATATGAAAGTCTACTTTGTTGTGTCCCTCCGACACGCAGGAGTTACCCACTGTAATAAGCTTAAGTTGTGTTAAGAACAACGGAGAAGATGTGACAGGAAACCTCTCAAATGACAAGCATGGCCTCCACCATGTAGCTTGGTGCAGTCCGCGGCAGTTGAATCCAAGTGTTACTGGTGACCAGGTGTTGATCACGTAAGCAATGGTCGCTCTGTCAGAGATTGACATGACCACGATTTACACGATATAAATGTTCGTCAAATGTCTGGTTGTTGCAAAATTTTAATATTAAGCTTCAAGGTTTCACTCTTCCTGTAACATTAGTAAAAATAAGAGAAATGGGCCAAAAAGTAAAAGAAATTTTGCGACATGAAAGATCATTAAAATTTTCAACTTCACCTTAACTAAAAAGGATGCTTCAAGAAATTCGAGAATTTTATGACAAAAATGCAGATTAGACAGCATTCCATGAAATGTGAAAAAAGTGAAAATGTAAGCGCATTCACTTTTTGCCCTTGACGTTTTGATAACTGATTACAAATAAAAATACAACTGTTTGAAGGCCCCAGCTAAACTGTATTGACTGCCATATGTAAAGAACTTATTTCTTTCAAGTCCAGAACAAGAGCAATGGAATACCGCACCTTCTGGCTGGCTTTCATCATGAGTGTTTTTATGCTGCCAGTGATGGCAAGGTAAGCTCGCTGTTTACAAGACTTCTTATTAAATTGTTCTAATAGCCTCCATAGTACCTGCAAGCAAATAGTGCTGTAATAATACCCAAAAACAAGTTGTTTTAATTAGCAATAGCCTCCATAGTAATTTCAAGCCAGAATGGGCGTGGTCGTCTTTTAAAAACAGTGTTCTAACAAGCATTAGTCATTCAAGTTTTCGTGAAAAACGGTTTAAGTTAATTCGATCGAGTACGGTTCTACTTTTCACTTTAGGATATTCTATAAGTTACGTCATATTCTATTAAATCTGAAATTCGTGTCAGTAGAATGCAGGACATAGGACTTGTCGGCGATTTTATGCTGCAAGATAATTAGGTTTGATGCTTTGCATGTAGCTTATTGAGTGCATTGAAGCACAAATTTCGACTTATGGTTTCAGGGGCCAACAAAGTCACATCCTAGAGCCTCAGCTTCAAATCGGACCTGTGTCTAAACATCGGTCAAATTTGCCACTGAAAAACGACGGAAAAAAGAATTGGCATCCGAAATTTCAGTCAAAAATTCATCCGACGACCAAAACGTACAGCGCGCAAAATGAACATCGCAGCAAACATGCAAATAGAAGAGGATTTCGCAAACGTGCCATGGAAGACTCCTACGTATCAGAGGCAGTTCGACGTGCCCAAGGTATGAGCCGGTCACTGCAGCAAGAGAGTAAGTGGAGAATTCACGACATACCAGTGGAGCAACTCAGAAACGCGCCTGAAATTGATTACTCGTATTTCACTTCACTTGACGAATATAGTGACGCTGTCATCATGAGCGCATCTCAAGAAGAGATTTTCAATGACGTCGAACCAACTCAGTCGTCTAAATTTAGTTTCTCAGAATACCACGCAGGTAGCGAGGTCCATAAGATGGAACAAATTATCCCGGAGCCAATACCCGAATCAATAACCCCGCCCGAAACTGAAACGAAAACTTTATTCACACCAGAAACGACAATGACCCGTGAAACTGCTCCGAGAATTCTCAACTTACCTGACATGAGAATTCCGCCAGTAACTGAAGAGGAAGCCCCACACGGAGACCGACCGAGGACAGATTTTCATGATAGAGCACATTACCAACCCTCGTCAAGGTTGACACTCGTCAGAGAAAACACCGATAAACTTTATGGACAAAACTTGGTCGTGTTCGGACACATAGATAATCGTAATTTTATCACTACGATTGAAAACTGCTCATCTTATACGAGAGTCGATCTCTTCTCTAGGTACAGTATGACAGAAATTGCTGACACATTTCAGCTCAATCCTTTAGGGCAACTAGTCTTATATTTCAATATGATGGAAGTAAATGTTGCAAACTACGATATAGCGTTAGAACGAATCAAACGAATTCTAGATCATTTTACTATGACATATCAAGGACTCGCATTTTACAGCGTCCTTCATAGCAACGAAGGTTCAAATCCTGATTTGTATAAAAAAGATACCGATTTTCACTGGAAGCTCAACGACGCAGTTATGGCTTACTGTTCCATGGACTACCCTCGGTGTCATATTGTACCTGATCTAAGTACAATAATGAATGGCCTCAGCGCATCTTACGTTAAAGACAAAACTCTCGACGAATATGACGCCAAGACCTACGATCAGAAGCATTGTTTAGAGAAGGCTTGCGCCGACCGGGGAATAGTTTTGGAGAGCCGTCCCACGCTTTCGGATTTACGTCCCGAGGTACAACTTCAGAAATTCAGTGAAGTATTTTGTCAAGTGTCGTATCATCGCGTAGTGGAATTCACCAGCAAATTACCGGGGCAAAGTGACTTCTCTCAAGACGCAACTACTCCACTTCCTCGGTATGCCATTACTCGTATATAACATTTGTCTCATCGCAAATCTTGGATGTTGAAGCGTAACTGAACATTTCTATTTTGTTTCAGTAATATTTTATTTCTACTCCTGTCGTACATTTTTATGCTCCAGGTAAAATAAAAATCTCCCCTTTTAAAAAATAGCAAGCAATTTTTAAAAAAATTTCCGCTTATGATGTTTCCACCTGAAGTTTGTGATTTCCTGTTTTTTTCAACTTCATACTTAGTAATTGTTTTGATCATTGTTTTAATACGAACAAGATCCATATTCTTAACTTGTGCAGTCGCTCAAGTGACCAGGTGGGACTCGTGCTGAACGACATCCTGCCTCTTGACCTGAAGCAATACGACAAAAACCAACCGCCACGTTTTGATGGCCAGGCCACTATTGTATACTTTCACGTGACCGTGCTTTCCGTCGACTCCATCAATGAGGAATCCATGGTAAATGACAGATGTATTAAAAATTTTTTTCGCACGATTCATCACATAATATTGAAACCTTTCTCATTGGGCCTTGGAAAGTGGAATTTTATGAGAAAAATGTGAAATTAGGAGAGATATGGGAGTTATGGATGAATATGAGATGAATTAAAATCTACATTAAAAATTATGCAACGGAGCATCATTCATGTTTCTGTATCATCTTCATCAGACTTATGTGACGGACATCTTCTTGGGCCAGAGTTGGCGGGATCACAGACTGCGTCTGCCAGAGAACATGACTGAGGAATACAGGCAAGGATTGGGCTTACTTGATTATACTCATTGTTGTTGATGCTCACTGCACTGGTTGATGATGCTCACTGTACTGGTTGATGATACTCACTGCACTGGTTGATGATGCTCACTGTACTAGTTGATGATACTCACTGTACTGGTTGATGATACTCACTGTACTAGTTGATGATACTCACTGTACTGGTTGATGATACTCACTGTACTGGTTGATGATACTCACTGTGCTGGTTGATGATACTCACTGCACTGGTTGATGATACTCACTGCACTGGTTGATGATACTCACTGCACTGGTTGATGATACTCACTGCACTGGTTGATGATACTTACTGTAATGGTTGTTTTCGAAATTAAGCAAGTTTTGTGGTAGTTGTCACTCATCGGATGAATTTATCTCTTGCAAAAGTTTGCTTGAATAAAATACTAAACTATGGCTCCAATTCCTTTGCTTTCATTTCATTTTCATCGATAGCACTACTGAAGTACTAACATATTGAATACCTGGAACGTCTTAACCTGTAATGTCTTATGCATGTGCCGTGTCGAAATCGCGGAATTGACGATTCTATGGAATCGGCAGCCACTTGGCCGAATCTGTAGAATAAGCATTTCTTTACTAAAGGAATCTGGGGTTAGGTCAGTCAGCCAAGTTCTTGTTTTAAATATTTAAATATAAAGGAACTTGACCTAACCTTTCCTAACGATAACTCTCAATTTATGTTCTAACTCTAACGTCCGATTTTCTGAATCAGCAACGAAATTCTGATTCTACAGATTCGGCAAACTGACTGCCGATTCCATAGAATCGGCTATTCCGCGATTTCGGCACGACATATTCATCCCCAATTCCATTTTCAATTCATGGTATAAAGAAATGAGAATGGGGATTTTAAAACTCTTCTTTATTCTATTCTTCATAAAAGCAAACTATACGTGATTCTATAAGGATCCTGGACGTGGAGTGGTTGCACAACATGTGGCGCCCTGACTGCTTCTTCAAGAACGCCAAGCGGGTTACGTTCCACGAGATGTCCGTGCCCAACCATTACCTGTGGCTCTTCAACGACAAAACATTATTGTACATGGCCAAGTAAGCCGTAATAAATGCATGAACCTATCAAAGAGCTCATGTCGGACAGCTAATCTATTGTTTTGTTTTACATACGTGAATCTTTTTAGTCATTCCTTGAACAATAACGTCTTTAACTTCCATTTCTTCAGTAGTTCAGTGTTATGAACTGAACCGTATACGTACCGCCGTATGTCACTCTCCGGAAACATAACTTTCAACTGAAATAATACGATAACTATTGAGTGTATCGACCTGAGGACATTTGTACGCAACAGTGAGCATTTTAAAGTTGTCGCACGTGGCGGCAACCATCAGTGCAAGCTATTTTTCGCTCACTATAACGTATCTGTTTTGGGAAGTAGACTTGTGACAATGTTGCTCCGGTTACTCATGTCAGCCTGTCAGGCGGTAGAGCTAGGGTTAATAATCAGTTTTGAGTACAAACAGATTTAATACATTTTGCAGACTAACGCTGGTGCTGTCTTGTGCGATGAAGTTTGAAGCTTACCCACATGACACGCAAATCTGCTCCATGATGATTGAGAGCCGTGAGTGATGATGAACAGTTACACACAGAAGGAATGAATATATATTCTGTGGAATGGTGTGTATATTCATGTATAGAATGGTGTACGTATTTCTATAGCGAGGTTTCTAAACAAAATTTCTATAGCGGTATGTCTACCAATCAAAAAAGCGGAACGGGCCTTTTGCCCTCCGATGACCGTGTTTAAAATAATATTACCTTCGATGCAACTTAGCACTGAAGAGCAATGGCCGAACGAAGTAAGTTTAATACTTCGTTAATGAAAGTAACGCATCTCAACACTAATATCATTAACACTAGTATCATTGTTGGAGTTTTTCTACACTAATATCATTAAAGGCGTGAAATTCAACCGTAGACAAAGGGTGAGAAAAAATGTATTGTACAATGTACAGGGTACGGCAAAGAATAGGAGTCCCAGATCACGGGTCCTGAATTTTGAATTCACGTTCCTGATTGTCAGTAGAGAGAACATCACGCGTTAATATAAGTCAAATTCTTTGGCGGCCGCGCTTCCAAATTAAGGCTCAATTTGACTTCTATCTATGCGATTATTTAAAAAATGATTGAAAAAAATTAATTTGGTCTATAAAGGGGATAATAAATGACAAAAATTATAGTGTAATTGCTAAACGTACGCCTTAAACCACAATTTGTTACAGTGTCGCACACAACCCACGACCTCGTCTTCAAGTGGAACGAAACAGACCCTCTGGTGGTGAACCCGGACATCGAACTGCCACAGCTCGACATATCGCGCAACAAAACCGAGGATTGCACTTTGAATTATTCAACAGGTCAGACTTTACTTAAAAAAATTGATAAATCCGATAATTCAAGAGCAAATTCTGCTAAAACAAAAATTTTGCTGCGAAAAGCAACAAAATTCTGTAGCTGATGGCAGTCAGAGAGAAGTCAGAGAGCCCTTTAACGTTAACTAATCGCCTAATCAATAAAAACGTTTTTTCATCTCGATAACTAAAAATTTTTCGTTAACTAAGTCGTTACCGAATATTTAGTATTTATTCAAATGAATAAGTACTGTAAAGTCAAATCCTTCATGTTCAATGCAGGAAATTATTCCTAAATACCCTAACGTGCGAATAAAAGCCTCATGAGTTCATTACTTCAAAGCAGCCAACAACATTTTAAAATCATAGTCTATTAAGACGTTTGTTCTACTCCGTCGTTGAAAGCTTAACGATTTTTAGCAAATTGCTCCAAACAAAGAACACCCTTACGAAAATCTTCGCAGAACATAAGAGTGGCGCACCATTAAATACACTAGAATATTTCAAATCCAATATGACGTTAACCGCTGCATTAAACAGACCTCTACTAGAAGCGATCAACTCGTAGAGGCAGTACAAACGTACACTTTTTATCAATAGTGTTCTTTTAATTGGTTGGAAATCAAAACGATTGTAATCGGTAAAGATTCCATCCACTAGAAATGTCAAGATTATTTTACTTTTGCAGGCAACTTCACATGCTTGGCGGTTGTTTTTAACCTGCGAAGACGTCTTGGCTACCATCTCTTCCATACGTACGTGCCATCAGCACTGACTGTGGTCATGTCATGGATATCGTTCTGGATCAAGCCAGAGGCCATTCCCGCTAGAGTTACTCTGGGCGTCACTTCGCTTCTCACGTTAGGTGCGAACGTTGGGGTAATGAGACTGAGGGAGAATGTAAGGTTAAGAATGAATCGAGAAGTCGTGTTATAGGTAGATTGTAGAACATAGCTGTACCTAAGGGTTCGTCCACTGATAATAAAGCTTTATCGTCGATGTAACTAGGGATTCTCAAATTATTTGCACGACGTTTCCGTCGTGGTGTCATAAATAAGTTTAAGAAATTATACAGTTTATGTAATATTTCCTGGTACTAGAAATGATAGACAGGTAAAAGTAAACTAACTGTGCGCAGTGAAAACAAATCTACGGTAAACTGGAATAATGGTATTATTGTGGCAGCGACGCAGAATCAGCAGTCGCAGTCATCGCTCCCCCCGGTGAGTTACATCAAAGCTATCGACGTGTGGATGTCGTCGTGCACCGTATTTGTGTTCGCCTCTCTGCTTCAGTTCGGCGTCGTTAATCACTTCATGAACGACGAACCCATCACCAAAGACATCACGGGCTACTCAGTCGAGGACCTTCCAGCCTATGATGATCGCAAGGTAAAGCCTGAATTAACCTCTCCCTTATGCTCATTTTAATCTAATCGAATAGCATCATACTTGTGTGCGAACAACGTGTCAACGTTCTCGCATCATTGCAATACACAAGACATTTAAGCGCTCAATACACCAAAAATATATCCTACTCCCAAAATCAATATGTTAGCAATACTCGAGTCAAGTGACGTTTCATATTTTATACAGGCATCAGAGGACGCGGAATTGACGGGCAGAAGCCACAGCCGCAGTCGCAGCCGCATGAGGGGGCGGAGCCCCAGCGTGCCCCAGTATGTGGTGACCCGCTGCTCCGGCAAGGACATAGCGATCTATATCGACAGGTTCTCGCGGTACTTCTTCCCAATCGCCTTCATGATAGTCAATATCTCTTACTGGACCGTCTATGGCTTCATATGACGTCATTTAGGCGATGACAAAATGGATCATTAATCTATAAAATTAACCATCTTGGTTATCCTGCAGTAGCCCAACTGTGCGAATTGAAGTAGAAGGAATGTAGTTCACATTTCCACAGAAAGGGTTTCATTTCACAGAAGGGGTTAAGGTTTCAGTCCCACAGAAACCCAATTTCTGATGCGAGGGCGAGTTAAAAATAATGTGACATGGATGACATCGCATCGATATGAAATAAATAAAACAAACTTTGAGCAACTAAATGAAATTTATTTACTAAAGCTTTAACCATTCTGAGCTTTTTCAAAAATGCAGGAGAAAACAAAAACGAAACAAAATATTATAGATAACCTACTAGACTTTTTGAGACTATCAACAATTTTTTGCAATGTTCCTCTGACATGTTTATCTTATTTTCATCACTTTACTGTCAGCATTTCACAGATCTGAATTGACGAAGTGTAGGAAGCTTCATGCAGAAAGTATCGAATCAACTAGCACACTTCACGATGAAACGCCAAGTATTTACAAAAGTTTGGCGTTAATCAGCACCTGTAAATTATTCAAGCGGAGGCGACAACAACTGGAGTTAAAGTGTTAATGACAACAGCAGCGACACTCTGGCCGTGGCTGCCGATGGCCGTAACAGGCACTGCGCTGAGGGCCAGGCGCGGCCCGTCGCAGCTGCTCGTCGCGTTGGCGCTCGTGACTGCGGCAGCGACGGCGTCTGCTACGCCGCCGGGCAGACGAGCGGCTGCGAAGTATAGCGTCACGCTGAGCAGCTCAGTCGAGTTGCTGCTGACGGATGTCATTATTTCATTGACTGCCACGCCCAGGAAATCCAGTAACAGCTCGACGCATACGGGCTCTGATGGATGACCTTCAGCCCCATCTGATGAATAAGAAATAGCGAGAGGTTGAAAACAGGCATTAAAATTAGGAAAATCATAAATGGTGATGATAGAAGTTGAGACGGAAGTTCAAGCAATAAAATCGTATTCAGAAAATGACTGGTTGCTAAACAACTGATAATAAAACGGTGAGCATATTTTTCATTCCATTCCGTATTCTGTAGATTTCCTCCATGTTAGTAATAGAACAAACGTAAGAAATTACAATAGACTGAATAGAGTTTGCGCTTATAACCAAGTGAGAAGTGACCACTTAAACCCACCAAGAGTAGCGATGAGGGCGGCAGCCCGAGGTATGGCCATGCACTGCAGGCTGACGGCCCATCCCTTCAGCGAATACTGCTTCGTCGACACTGTTATGCAAAAAAATGCTGGAATATTGAATTCTTTCGAAGACGTTGAGAAAAACTTTAGAGATATTTGGAACAGAATTTAAATGAGCTGCAGATGGATACATTATTGATAGGGCATGTCATGCACATGTTTTTGTAACATTATAGTTGCGCTCTCAGCGCTCCATGTCAGAAAACTACTTCAATGTGCAAGCAAACAGGGTCGCATTGTAAAGTTGCTATAAGTGATCAATCACGTTAACTTTTTACGTTTTTATCGAGTACATAAATGGATGAACGCTTTTTCATCCCGTGAATAAAAAGGTATCGATAATCAAGCGTCTGTTTCACGAATATAAAAATATTCATTTCTCCTTTAGTTTCTTGTATCTCCAAAAAAAACTTCTCTTCTAAAGGTAGAAATAAGGCAAACGTACGTTGGTAGGAAGCAGCGAGGGCGTTAGCGGCGCAGTGCAGTTCAATGTCGGCGTCTTTAGGCAGCCGCTGCACGACGACATGAAGCAGTGGACAGCGCAGCCCCTGCAGGCCAGGCTCTGAGCAGTGACTTGCCTCGACGCTCTTACTGTAGCAAATGACCTGAACAAACGCAACATGAGTTATCTATAAATACTATTAAATCTTAGATAAAAAGTCTTGTCGCTAAACCAACACCACACGAGAAATTTCATAATACCATTAATGTCCATATAAGAAAATAATATCGCAAGGAACGTCATCAAGCATTAGAATGCATAATTGATTGACTCGGCAAAAAATCTATATAATTCAATAATAATCGAGACTGGGACATAAGCAATATATTCACACTAAAGTATCGTGAGAGAAAATAGTGGAAGAAAAGATCTTGTTTACAACCAGTGGGTCTTAGCCATTATAGTTGGCTAACTAGGAGCCTTCCTTGCAGCAAATTCTGGATGCTTATGCTGACGACAAACAGGATTAAGTGTAGTAGTAGTAGTAGTAGTAGAAGATTTACTAGCGCTTCAGAGGATTCAGTGTGATGAGAAAGAAAACATGAATTTATATCATCAATACCAGTCCGGAAAATAATAGTTCATAAGTAGATGGTCGAAAGTAATCGAGTTTTGGACGGAAGAACGATATTCACAAGAAAGTATAATAGTAGTGCATCGCTGTAAAAAGTAAGGGACAATTAATGTTATTCCCGAAAGAATGATGACAAAGGAACCTGCAACAGGAGATTCCGTGGCGTGTCAGACGTCTTGAAGACGCAGCAGAGCAGACGGTCGATGTGGCGCAGGGCGAGGGCGGCCTGCTTGGCACCACCTCCCTCGATCACGTCTAGAGTTCCTCCCACCAGACCAATCATGCCCGCCAACGACACGTGGCTTCCAACCTGCATACCAATTTGAGGTAGTGGTCCGTGCATAATTATCAGTTATACGCTAAACAAATGTAATCACATATGTCTGTGATCATTCCGTCATATCAGTTATATATAGAAGAAATACAATCAAATAGTTGGTGTTGTTATTATTCTACGAGGCGATGGTCTTAGCGTCAGGTTCAATTGCACTTTGAGATCACGTTACACATTGCTAGAGATCACATTGCACCACCACTGCACTATCGGTTAGAAATTGAACCAAATTTTTATAGTCATGAACTCATTTTATCACAGCTATCTTGTTATGAAGTGATTATGTTTAGTACCAATATTCGTAAACTGCAAAAAAACAAGAACTCGCGCCCTCTCCTACGAGAAAGCAAAACTCCTTCACCTTGACTGCCTGGCTGTAGGGCCCGATGTTGGCAGGCGCCCAGTGAGACACGGACTGTACGTGTAGAACTTGACGAGGTGAGGAGTCGGTCTTCTCCCCATGACTGTACCCCAAAACTTCCAACTGTTAAACACAACAAAACACAATAATATGCGTTTAAAGACAACACTTCTAAAGAATCCAGTGTCTCCGATGTTACACATGTTCAATGAATTTCTAATTTTATTATCAAATATTAAAAAAATCAATTTCAAATTTTATTTTTACAATTTAAAAAAATTTTAATTTTTCAAAATTATTTATTCTGTCAATTGATACATGCATTGTCTCTGACTTTACAAAAGTGTGCAAAATTTCAGATCGATTGGACAGGTAGAAGTGTGTTAAATATCGATTATAAGATGTGTGTAGCAGATAAATTTATTTTTACAACACTTCTCTTTAACTTCACTTCTTGTCTGTCTGTCTGCTACAAATCTTGTAATCGAAATTTAATACACTTCTACTTATCCTATCGATCTGAAATTTGGCACACTTGTGTAAAGTTGGAGACAATGCATGGATCAAATGTCAAAATAAATTATTTTAAAAATTAATTTTTTTTTCAAAATTACAAAAATTGAAAAAATAATTTTGTCAGCTCCAAATCTTGTAACTGATATTTGACACGCTTTTACCTGTTTAATTGATCTGAAATTTTGCACACTTGTGTGAAGTCGGAGGCAATGCATGAATCAATTGACAGAATAAATAATTTTGAAAAAATGTATAAATTAAAAAAAATTTGAAAAATTACCTTTTATAATATTCGAAAATAAAATGAGAAATTCATTGTACATCTTTAACATTGGAGACACTGGATTCTTTAGAAGTGTTGTCTTTAAAAAGTAATTTTTAAACGTATATTATTTTTTAATTTGTTCAATTTCATACATAAAATTTTTTAAATTTTCAAAATTATTTATTCTGTCAATTGATTCATGCATTGTCTCCAACTTTACGCAAGTGTCCAAAATTTCAGATCGATTGGACAAGTAGAAGTGTGTTAAATATTGATTATAAGATTTGTAGCAGACAAACAAACAAGAAGTGAAGTTAAAGAGAAGTGTTGTAAAAATGAAGCGTCGTAAAAAGATGCTGACTGTATACTGATAAAATGCTGATGCTTTTCTTAAATAGTATTGCGGAGAGTAAAAAGATAGCAAATGAGATGACTAGCAAGATAGCACAATTTACTCAACTCTCACATTACGATCAACAGGGCGATGAGTGTTACTAAAGCTCGGCAACATAAATTCAATCAAGGGCCGTATACTATCAGAAATAGTTAAGAGTTTGCAACTCCGCCAGCCAATTACCGAAGGCTTTTCACACTAAAATTATCAATCACAGTCAAGAATTCGGCTTCTACGTGTAAAATTTGGTTTTGATAGTACGGCATCCCGGAGGTGTATTAGTTTAGCCACAAACGTAATTAGGTGTTGCAATGAGCTCAGATAAACTCAACTTTCACAGCTCCATCTAAATCCAAGTCCTCTTCCTTCTTCATACAGAAATATTGAAGAATAATAATCATAAATAACTTCAGGGATGACAATGTAACAGAGTATGACGTTGTTAAATCAGCACTATTATATACAACAACCAATAGGTCATCTCTTCTGCAACTCGCCTTCTTGTATCACGTTATTGACGCTCATTGTGAAAAAAAAAAAAAAAACGATTCAAGAATAAGAAACTAAAAAGATGAATTAAACAATCTAAACAAGTCAGAGAAAAAGAAATACCTCACAGGAATGAGGTTGCGACAGTTGCATTGTTTTACAGCGCACCTGACACTCGCTGGATATGCAGGACTGCACGCACGCGCGCACGGGAGGGTTGTGGCCGAAATGTTTCTTGTAGGCAGCGTTGAACTGCGCGTATGTGGCCAGGGACCGCACGAAGGCGCGCACCTCGCACGCCTCCGCCAAGGAGAGGCCGTGTGTCGCGAGGTCATCTGCCAGGGCAATGGCTGAATTAGCCCCACAGAAATATAATGACGATAAATTAACGTTATCATGGTGCCAAATGAGAGTTCGATAAATTGGCTCCAAAAAATATGGAATGACTCTTTGAAAGGAAAATCGAACGAAGTTGAAAGTTGATGTGTAATAAGACTTCAATATAAATGAATTGTTTGGGTAAATAATAGCAATATGGAGAGTTAAAGTAAAATATAATTAGTACTTGGTAATTAAATAAATTTACCAGTCATCTGCCTGAGGACTTCATCAACACAGCTACCTGCATAGCTGCTGGCCACCCACCAGCCTCCAGCGCTCACCACCACACAGGGTCTGCCCATTACCATCACCAACATTACTTTAGCTGCATACATTCCCTATAGAAAAGCCTAGGTTAAGTTGGTTACATGGAATATTATAGCGCGACACCAAACCATGCAATCTGTGACGTAGCCAACAAAATAGGGGCAAGAATTGTTAACCACCTAATCCAAAAGTACTCAATCAAAACCAGAGTGATTATCCCAAACTGGATAACAGGATTCAATTTTTTATACCAGTTCGCGGCTAATGTGTTCATGCTATATCCAACCAAGAAACAGAGACGGAATAAGCTATTACAAACAAATGTAAATATTCTAAAATGCATTGTTTCTCACCCAGAAGAAGATCTCTGGTCGGGTCTCAGGAGCTTGTTTATGTTGGACTGCACGACAGGAGCCTCGCTAAGCGTTGCCACGTCCACCACGTCAGCAGCAGGAGCCTCAGACAACTCAAGACGCAGGATCTCCTCCACGAAGTGCAACGGGCCTGGCACGCCTGCAGCCACTACACGCTCCTCCATGCTCTTCCCGTGAAGCTAACGTACAAGCATAATCAGAGACAATGTATGGGCACTTGCATCACGAGTCTACATAATATGAAAGTTTTCAGCAATTTGCTTTAGCCTTAAATTGAAATTAACAACACAAAGGTTCAGATTCTCATGTTTTCAAGCGGACTATTGTGAAAATGATTAGTTTAATTGGTGGAATGAACCGCTTAGCTGACCTGCTTGTCCTGGAACGATAGCTGCTCCAGCACCATGTAGCCAACATCACCGGTCTCCTTCACCAGACGATTGCGGTCTCTGCAACACAGGCAGCAAACAAACATTGCTGGGGCAAGCCGTACTCAACAATGTAAGTCAATAATAATACATAAAAACGTTCATATTAGTCTGTCAATAAAAAATAAAACTTAACACAACCTCCCACTCTGAATTGAAATCATGAGCTATGGAACACAAATATTTCAAGAAAAATGTAGAAAAACAATTTTAAAAATGACCCCACTCGCAAATAGATAGTACTATATACTCGTTGAAAAAATTGGTGCTGTATATAATGGATATTATTTATGAACCCAGGGTTTAGAAATATAATCAAGCTTGCTTAGTTATAATCATCCTCTTGCATCCATATAGGTTCCTCCACTAGCTGCTAAAAAATAAGGTTAATTTTGTTGCGTACAAGGTTAGAAAATTTATTTAGAGACAATGCAGTGGTTAGCGAGGCGTTAAGATTCTAGCTGGTAAATTATATACTATGTTTCTTCAAAGCATGACGTCAATTCTCTACAAAGAAAATATACAAGTGGCATTAATGAGGCTGGCATTCATTTAGTAATGCGAGATGCCCATTCAGTTCATCAGGAAAACTTGATTTCTTTGCTCACATTTGAATGCGTTTTTCATACAGCGGGCAGTCGGTGGTAAAGGTTTCAAATTCGCCACCTTCGCCACACACATGTAAATCGAACTTAGAATTCTGAAGAGAGAATATCAAATCCACAGATAACAATGAAATTAATTATTTCAAACAATCATACAATTAAAATAGACAAGGTCTTAGCAATAACAGTCGCAAGTAATTTTAATATAAAACTGAAAAATGTTAATTTTTTGTTACATTAAAAAAAATTCACTTCAATCAAGGCCGATTAAAATAGGACCGATTCAAGTTCAATGAAACCCGTGTTGGAAATCCAGTAAAGTGGAGAAACTAGTTCAAATTTCAAAAGAACCAAAATAATTTTGACATGTAAGGGAGGAAGGAGACAGCACAAGGATCAGAATTATGCACTCTCAAAGCCTCACCTGTTTCCTGTTATCAGCTATATAACGTCAACTTTGACATCTTATCACGAATCAAAAGAGATGCCTACATTTGAGATAACTAAATAACATTAACTTTAACTTCTTATCACGCATCAGAGAGATGCCTACATTTGAGATTAACAAATCAATATCTATACTAGTGCATTACTTTATGAACATTTTAAAACTTGCTCAATAAAACTCAATAATAAATAACTCAATTAAAAATTACTGATAATAATAATTTATGCACTAAAACTTACTTACAATTCAAGAAATGAAGATGAAGAAATATTTTATGTGAAGCCATTACCAGGGCCCATTCAAATTTCATTGAAGCTTTAATTGCAGGTAAGAATCAACCAGATTAAATTTCACTGATTTCATGAATATGGAGTGAAAAGTGAATGACTGGATTAACCAAGTGAAATAGATGAGAAGATAGTGTTGAGGTCAAGAAAGGAATGGAAATAAGTATGCTGACCAGCAGCAACCGTGTTGTATGAAGCTGCTGCAGAGGTGTTGTATGAAGCTGCTGCACAGTTAAAAAAAAAATGATAATAAAGAAGCTGACCAGCTGCAGAGGTGTTGTATGAAGCTGCTGCACAGTTAATAATAATAATAAAGAAGCTGACCAGCTGCAGCAGGGTTGGATGAAGCTGCTGCAGAGTTTGCCCGCAGTGTTGCTCAGGGAGCAGGCCAGCCCCAGCAACTTTGATGAGCACGGCCTCTACGTCACACTTCAACATCTCGGATAAAAGTTCCTTCTGCTCACGCTGCCATAAGTATGAGTAACACACCAACCCAAGGCGCACACACCTGAAGATATGAACTATGTTTGGAAAATATTGATGACAGGTTAAGAACTTTGTTCCTGGGTATTCATTACCTCATTTAAAAATCCAAGTGACTCATAATAAATGAAAAATAATAGGAAAAGAAAGTTAAAATAAGTGAAATACCAAAAAATTGTTATATATGATTGAATTTCAATACAGAACTGGACATTTTAATACACAATTTAGCCTTTTAGGCGCTCAAATTTATACACAGCAATGGAGATAATTAAAATAACAGGTGAAAAGAATAAAGAATAAGTAAAAAAAGCAATGCAACCAATGTAAATTTTATCCTGTATTGCTCACACATTTTCCACTCTAACTCTTTGGTAGTCGGAGAGGATAGCACCCACACTCACGCCATCAACGCCTCCCTCAACACCTTCCTGGGGATGGCAATAAGAAACTCAGCAATTCACATTCTAGTACGCGTATATTTACATAGTAATTCTATAAAATATTAATAGACACAAAATCATAAAAAGCTAACATTTATTGCATGAACACATAAAAAAATTGCACAAAAATGGCCCTGAAATGAAGCAAGTCATTTAGTAATGGATATAATTTGTGAAATGGGAAGAACTTCATACAACAAAGTTATTTCATTGCACAAAGACTACAAGCATTAAGTTAGAACCAGTACCTAGCAGGATAGCAGGATGAGGATAATGAATGAAATGGTAGTTATTTCTCAACAGTCAATTGGTAACACAGTTATTGAAAATATACTATTTAATTTTGTATCAATATAAGAATAAAAACAGGAGAGAGTTGAGAAAATACCTTGACAGATTTCAGAAGAGCATAGAGGTCTTCAACCTCATCATCAGCAATGGGTTGAGTATAATTAGCAGCAGTGTTGACAGACTTGCCCTCAATGGTGCGAGTGTAGATAGGAATACTGCCCATTGCCTTGGCTATACGCCACACATTATTCACACCCACACTTTGGTACATGTGGCTGTTGCTTTCCTCTGCACAAAAAATAATTAATAAGTTAAGTATGATACTTACATACATAAATATTTATATATATTGATAAGAACTACGAAACACCATGAAGCAAAATTCTGGTAAAATATGATAATTCATTCTCATAAAATTCCTTGAAACAAGACTGCATACATATGCTCATATAATAATATTATTTTCCAATAACTTTACTCACCAATCCCAGGTGCAGGTAAAAGTGTGGCCAATGCAACAGCTTTATGCCCAGCAGCAATACACTGCATGAGGGCATAGCAGCTGTCTTTGCCACCTGAAAGCAAGCCAACAACACGCATTGTTTCACAATCTGAAAAAAAGTAAATAGGTTTTAGCCAGTTACCTAAAACATTCAAGTTTAAAACTAAATGGTTAAATGTGCCAAAAAAAATGATCTGTGTCACCACTGAGGAGTGAGGATACCAGTGTATTTAAGCAATTGGGGATAGTGTAGACTATGGTCATGCAGTAAGTCAATTATCAGTGCTCCTGCTTGAATAAAAATAATGGTGCAAATTACAGAAGCAGAAATTTATAATTTTGTAAATTTCTACTAACAATTGGGAAACAATTAGGTTCCAAAGCTGGCCAAATTTAAGGGTGAAATAATAATAATATATATAAAGTTTCAGATGACATTGAGACCATCCATTTATTCTGCCACCTGAGACAAGCTTGCAACCAAACCAGGTCTCAAAGCATTACAATCAAGCAACTTTATTTCAAAATCCGCAATTAATTCAATAGGCTCTGTGAGACCCTTGACAACCATGTCAAACCTCAAACTATATGCAGCAATGGCCCCAGCAAAAAGCAGGGGTGTTCTTGAAGAATCTGGTGTAATCTATAAATTTTGCTTTGGAGAAGGTTGCTGACTCCTGCATTATTTGAACTTCAGGAGAGAAGCTGGAGTCCCATAGTGGCAATTCAGAGATTTTTAAAAATCAGTTTCATTTAAAATTTCCTCATCTACTCAATATTTTAATTAATTTCTTATGTATGATATTGCTGGTACTCCAAGATACTTACTAGTCTACTTATAGGACTCAAAATTCAAAAATGAACTTGAGCCTTGAGGCTGAGGAACTGGGAAGGGCAACAAAATATGTTCTCCTCTGCCACTATTTGAGTAACTAGGTACTACAACATTGAGCAGTCATTTATCCTGCCACCTGAGCAAATCTTGAAGGTTTGCAACAATACCTGGCATTACCTGCTGACCTCATGAAGCATTACAATCAAGCAACTTCCTCTCAAAATTGCAATGAATTCAATAGGCTTGGTGACACACTTGACATGAAACTCAATGAGACTGTCACTTGCACTGTGCTGGAGCATTGGAGGAACCCACCACAGGCCACCACCCACCAGCATCGTCATCTTGCAGTGGCCACTGGCCAGACTTCATGTCTTCATCCAATTGACAATAACTGAAGCCCTTATCAAAATCCTTATCTCTATGCCATAGGCAAAGTGAGTCTATGGATTGGACTTCAGCTATCCATCTCATAACTACCAGATTCCAGGCTTTGAGAAATTGAGATTGTTCTAGAGTTATTTCCATGGTACCAATTTTCTTGTTGTTAAAAAACTACTTTTTCAAACAATTATTATGATTAAGAGATTAACTAATGTCATCTGTACATCTGAAGAACATTCTTTGACTTTGACCCTGAACAATTACATCACATCATCACCCATGTTTAAACAAGCTTATTCTGCCATCTGATTCTAATTACTATTCAATTGTAATCTAATACAAGTTTGCATTTTATACAATATATATATATATATATACAATTTTCATGACATATGACTTATGGCCATGGGCCTTCAAAGTTCAATCTAGGGTCTAGGCTATGATTCTCAGTCTCACTCACTCACTGCACCTGTGGGATCTTCAGCATCTTCCTCTCAAACCTCAATCCTCAGGCTCTGCAGTCAGTGGTTTATTGTTACTATTTTTTAGTATTTTATATCATGAATACCCCTTGGAGCTGCTGAGCTTTAGGCTTGGCCCTTGCTACACCCTCTACACAGCTACTGTGACCTGTGTTTAATGTGTTACAATGAATTAGTCTACTCTACACTTTACACTCTGTCTGTGACTCGGTTTCTGTGGCAATGTGGGTAGGTGGGTAATCACAGTGACAATATCATCTCATCAAATGTCAATATGACAAATGACAATACCTACCGGCATAGTGACAAAGCACAGATTTTTCAGAATCAGTTCATTTTTAATTTCCTCATTTACTTCAGATTTATACCAATTTCTTATGTATAATAATGCTGGTATCCAGGATACTTTACTTGTCTACTTATAGGACTCAAAAATGAACTTGAGGGAGAGTCTAAAAACTCTCTGCTTTGCCACTGTGCCTACCGGCTACCTAACAACCAAGGGCTAGGCCACTAGGGAAACTTGCAACTTGGTTTACACCTGGTTTTAGAACTTACTTCTATTCAAATCACAAATACTTCAATATTTCTTGAGAAAATGTAATAAAAGTTTCTCAACTTATAAATAAACATATTCAGAAACAACAGGAACAGCCACAGCCACAGTGTCAATGCGGCAACAAAACGCTGATCACTAGACTAGTGATCAGTATTCAGCAAGATCCCTCTGCCTGTGAATCAAAGGAGCCCTTGTAAGTTGTAGTTGAAGCCTTGCGCTTGTCGAGATTCATATAAACGGTCCTTGTAACATTGCAGACAGAGACAGGGACGGTCACACACTAAATAGTTTAATTTAGAATCGGAATTAGCAAACAATTAACTTTGTATTTACGTGCGATCATGCGATGTCTGCACGCAGTTCTTGAATTTCAACTTAATATGGATGAGCTCAATTTATATTCTTACTGCAAAGCTGTTATACAGGCTAACAGGCCGGGCCGCCGGAGCTGCGCAGCCGTAGACCAGACATTAACTCTCAAATCAGCTCTGGATGTTGTCATCCTGGCACGGTGACGGCACCTAAGGAAGAAATGCTTGTATTGGGCAACGCTGGCCTCTCGCATGTTACGGCATGTATCCGGCCAGGCCGACATACCGTAACCTAATTGCTCGACCGGTCCCCCTTTCAAGGATCCTGAATTCTGATGCCGCACAGCTGTTGATAGAAACATGGAAAGAAATACCGAAGTAAAAACACTTAAATTTTTCAGGATAAGCTGCTAGAGTAATATACGTAATATACGTAATACTCTTGAATATGGTAGAAAGAGATATATAGGTTTATTTAAAATTCCTACATAATCTAAAAATTACATTTTCTTTAAAAAGAAAATAATGAAAATATTCTGACGACCCTCCTCAATGCGAATCGACGTCGATGATGAAATAATTTAATTTTTATTACATCCATATTATTGTAAATTCGAATGGGCTACGTTTGTAGTACGAGTTCCTAAAATAGTGTGCCGAGAAATTTGGCCAAAAACGTAAAACGTCTCAAATTTTTGCCCAGAGATGTCGATGCTGTGAGTTTAGAAAAGTTCTTTGCTGAGTTATAGTAACTTTTTAAAAACCAAGTCCATTTCAAATTGCAGTGTCAAATTTACTGGACATCATTTCAATTTATTTTGAAAATCGTGCATGACAATTGCGTTGATATCACGCAGTAGTAAAGTAGATACAGAAGTTACGATTTAAGTTTGCGCACTTCTCAGTGCAAAAATAATCGAAGCTCGAACTTATTTGGTATAAAAGATACTTCTAAAGCGGATAGATTGGCGACCAGCAAATACCAAAATAATAAAGTGGCAAGAAGAATCAGAAACTGAATCGGAAACTGAAACAAACATTTGGAGCAGAAATGCCGAGTAGACAGGAACTATCGTTGATCGTCGCGTCCTACACCTGCGCACCTGATACGATCTAGACTTATCATCTTGCCAACATCGCTCTCATGCTGAATCTCAACCCAAAATACTTGCATACTGTGCCACTGCTGAGACAGAAAAACAAAATAACCATCGCTGAGGCCGTGAATATCCTCTCTGAAATGCCCGAACTCGCTCCTAAATGCGACCTGCGTTCAAGCTGGCAGCAACTGTTCAACGGTGAATCTGCTCTCGACCAGAATGGCTTCTTTGAGATCTGGCAAAAACTGGACTGTCCCCTGGAACAGTATGATAAAATCATGAAGTACGTGAAGGATAAAACGGACGATGACAAAGTGACTGTAGATCTTTTGGTAAACTATTTCAACGAAGAACCTCGGAAAGCCTGGAAGCGCTACAGGCGAACAGCTCATCAGTGAACACGGAACTACCTAACAACGTACAGCACTCGCCGCCTTTCAACTACGGACACTCCCATCAAATTAAGAATTTATTTCGAACGAATTCGGTAATTTTGTATAAATGGATTTTAAACTTCATAGCTGAGCTATTTTTTATTGATCATCTGTAACAGTCGCATTTATGGCAGACAAAAATTACTGGGTCCATAAACAGGACTTTCGATTAGATTTTTTTTAGTTATTAAAATCTCCGTGAAAATTCATCAACGTTTGAAGCGCTCCGTGTAAAAAAACGCCAGCCTCTGTGAAATATAATGGAATATTGTAGATAATTGTACGACGTCAGTTCACCTAAAGTGAAGGAAAATAATTTTTCGCGAAGTACACATAGTGAAAAATAACGCTTGAAATTATTGGAGTAGATTCTGCAGGAGTAGATTCATGATAAATATGATTGTGCAATATCACCAAGTCTCTATATCTTCATGAAAGTCATGTAAAATTATTTTGGTTTGATCACTCTGCATTTTAATAATAAATTTGAATAATGAATCTAGTTTTATTTTGTTGGTAAAGAATGGTTGGTCTTCATAATCGAGAAAATTATCAGTGCGTTAAAATGTGTAGTTTTAGCGGCAATATGAAACGAAAGAAACAATACGATTATCGGCCTTACGGGAACATATAAGGAAGATAAAGAATGCGAGTTATTTCAAATATTAGTGGACGTTGAATTAAATGTACTGAAGTCGTAGTTGGCTTGTAAATTTTATTGTCAAAAGTTCAAACGTTGGTACAAATGGCATGAGTTAGTATAATATTAATGGATTTACTCGTACAGAGATCTATAGTTTAATACAATAAGTTAAGTACACGCATTAAAGCAACTTGGAAAAAGTATGGCCTATTCTAGTAATCTCAGCCAAGGGTTGGTTTAAATACAAATACAAATTAAAAGACGACACTCGACTTCGTGAGTACAAAGGCTCAGTCTGGAGCTCGATTGTATGGAACCGCGCTGTTCTTGATAAAAGACTATGACTATTAACTCGAGTTGGAAACTATAATGAGTTTCAAACTGACAATAATATTTTCCTTTTAGAGATTGCTAGTCCAATTATTTGCAATTTGTCTCTTCGCGAGTCAAAATATACGGGCTTTGTATTGCCTGAGATGCTTGATGTTCAAGCGTGTATCTGACTTGCAAAATGATACACTAAAATATCACTCGCTATCAGGCCTAGCGCCGTATCATTTACCTTATTAATAACACGTCTCCTGAAAAAAAAAACATATTGCTGACATTTATGCAGTCCCTCAGATTAAGCTTTATAGGAGACGAAATCTTTCAAGAAACAATTAAGGATATGCCAAACGTTTATAATAATAAAGTTACATTGTCCGCAAATAATTTGAGCGATGTTGGAATACTAGTATTATACCAAGTTTTTGATAAATGTGTAATATAGTTTCTTCAATAACATTTAATGAAGAAAGTGATATTACAGAACCCTTCTGGAAAAAAGGCAAGAAATTTTCAATTTGTGCTAACGGTGCTTTGGGTTGAGGCGCCTCCGATCTCAGTAGGATCACAAAAATCTACCAAGCGCGCTGTCGTCCTTTTACATCAAGAATGTTAATTAATTCACGTAACATCAAACCGCGATTAAAACAGGGAAGTACGTACGATCAACTACGATACGCTCACAACGAATATGAAATATGCTATTTATAAAATACTTTCTAAGGTTACAATCTTGGAAGATGTTAGACACGGAGAATGGAATGGACAAGAGGCACACAGAGTAGCACAAACATAACAAATAATTACTTGATATCAAACATAAATATCAATTAATATCCAAAAAAAATTATCTTCAGCGAGTTTATCAAGTTTCTCGAATTCACAAATAAGAAACGTCCTATTCGTTCAATACTTTAACTATTACTCTTAAGAAGAAACTCTGTTTGCAAAGTTGGCTCCTAAGTAATGGCGTATTTTGATTTCTGAAATGCAAAGGATTCAGCACGAGCAAGCAAAAACTCTCTGAACACTCGTGACAACAGAATATTAATTAAAATAATGCCACTACAAGCGCCCACCACAACCTGAGGGCCAGTCATTAAATCCACTGCGCATACATCGCATGGCATCCCTAGGGCCGTACTATCAAAACGCGCTCAAGTACATGTAGCTACCTAAGTACACATAGCGGTCTAAGTACACGTAGCAGCCGATTTCCCGTCTATGATCGGTTGGTTTCACAGCAGTCAGTGATTGGCTGACGGAGTTAAGAACTCGCAACTATTTTTGATAGTTCGGCCCACGGCATTGAAGAGTTGAAGAACGGTCAACTAACACTCGTAATTATAACATTTTTAGTATTTGGCTAATATTGGAAAAATTGGAACAAACAAGCAAGGAATTGTTAGACTTTATCAAATCTGCAAAATTTACGTGTAACAAAAGTATTCAGTTAGAACAAAACTTCGCCGGAGGGATGGAATTACGTCAGACCGAGCGAAGGACAAACAAAGAAGTTTTTAGAAGAATTCTAATTTCAATAAATTCCTGGCAGTTGGCACAATTATTTAAAACACATTCTATTCAGTATGAATAAATGCTAGTCACTGGTTGCTATGAGTATAAACGGCCTGCATCACCAGTGAAAATATTGAAATATTCTTGTCCATCATGAAAGCCCAAAGACAGAAAAGAGACATTTTTGATGGAATAAAGAACTTAGCTGAGAGAAGCGACTTTATTGCATACGCTTAAGGCTAAGGAAGTCCTGTAGAAGTAGACTCGGTGCACCAACGTAGCAGAAATTTGCGCTGCAAAAATCGCCACGCGTTGAATAAAAAACTTTACTTGATTGGCAGGTCAAAAGGTCGCCTAGGCCTACTGATATCACACTATATGGAACAATCTACAAGATTAAGATTCAGTTTGTGTTTTTAGTTTCAGACTCAACAAGCGAAGCCCCGAAAATAACTTCCTTCTTGTTATCAGGAGGAATTTTCTCCCTCGAGTGATGGCTGCTGTTGTCAAGCAGCAAACTTTTGCCACTAGAATGTAAACTCATCGAGTCAGGGAGACAATTGGCACTGGACGCGGGGCTGCCACTGATCGCGGCATCTCTGCTGTTGGACCGCAAACTTAACGTATCTGGAAGGATCTTGCTACTCGAACTTCGTAGGCTTGGGGTCTCAAGAATCGCTCTTTGACTTGAGTGCAAGCTGGCCGTGTCTAAAACAGACTTGCCAGCCGAGTGTAAACTTGCTGTTTCCAAAATTTCTGTAGGCTCCATTATACTTAAGGCACTGCCACCAGTTGTGCCAGTCACAACCGAGAGTTTTTCTCTTGGGATTCGATCACCTGAAGTTGAGTGAGTAGATCCAGAAGACTGAGTAGAACCAGCTCGAGAAGAAAGAGGTGATGCAGAATTTCTACCAAAATGCGAACTCTCCCCAAATTCATACCGTCGTGGAACAACTACATTCAATTCTTTAGCCTTTTCGGGACTACTAAACCTACGTCGCTTGTCAGAACTACTTCCCTCGTCTCTTTTGGGGCGTTTTCGTTTATCAGGGCTAACAGCGGCTTGACTGTAAGCTTCCATGCTGATGGATCGGCGGTATTTATTAGAATTGAAGACAAGGTCCACGTCATCAGGGCTCACCGATTTAGTAACTCTTAGGGAACTGTGAGTTCTAGCACCACGTGGAGAACTTAAGAACGCTTCATTAACAATGCCTCTGACAGGACTAGCGGTCACCGAGTCATGGAGAAGAGCGCGAGATGACCCGTAACCGATACGTGGCATTACCGGGCTACCATTACAGCTTCCATTAATGAGTGCATTCATGGATGTGACGGAGCCACCAAAAGACCCTTCCGCGTAAGGCTTGGCAATCCTTTCTTCGTCTGCCAAAAACTTTTGGATGAGCCAGTTCCCCTCAACTGAAGGCACTTGGAGCTTGTCGCGACCTCTGACTCGGCTCAGGTCGGCCGTAGGCAGCGTCTGACGGCGAGCTTTGTTGGGACTGCGAGAGGCGGGCGCTCCTCCACGATATCGGTTCTGACGCCGATCATCGTCCATGGTGGCCCTCTTCTGCGGACTTCTGTTGCGGTGTGCATGGTCCACCAGGTCCATGGAGGCTACTTTGGTCTCATGCTCTCGTCTGTGCTTCTCGGGACTGAGTCCTCTCGGGTCGGGTTTTTTGCCAGCAGATTTAGATCGTATTTGTTTCTTCAATTTTCGTTTATCTATTATCGTTATCTTATATTTATCTGGACTAAGGCTCTTAGGTCTAAAAGATTTAAAATTAATTATGGAAAATCTACTAGAGAGACTCTCTTTTTGCTTTGGCTTAGCGGAAGTGGAAGGAATGGCTGCAGCAGAGGTGGCGTGGACGGTTGTAATGCCATTGGCATGTACGGCGGCCGTAGCAACGGCTGTAGTCGCTCCGCTAGCACCACCAGAGGCTTGTGTGGTGGAAGCTTCTGCACGCCGGTCCACGCAAACTGCTCTCTTCCCGCCGGTCTCATCACCTTTTTTGGCCGCGCTTTGATCACTTCTTTTGCCGGCCGCTGACTCGCCTCGTTTAGCAGCCTTCCTGCTGGGCCTGCCAAGCGTACTCTTAGCCGCCCTCTTGGCCTTGGTCGCCGCGCGCCTCACTTCGTTGACACGCCGCTTGAACGGCAGGTTGGTGCGCACGACGGTCGGGTGCACCACGAAGTTCGCAGAGTCTAGGACAGCTCCTGAGGCTGCAGGACTCATTGCAGGATACTGTATCCCATTGGTAGGATTCTTGTGGATGACAGTCTTCTTCCTCTTGCGGGCTGACCTGCTCGACTTCCTCATCCTGCCCCACGGCTGCTTGCCAAACACGCGCACGATCACCAGCTGCAAATAAAAAGAGAAATAAATTAGGTAAAGAATTAAATCAACTAAATTAACACTATTCATTAACAGAAATAAATTCGTAACGCGGAGTTCATAAGTAACATGAGCTGGTATGGGGAAAATATTATGTAAGTCATAGTTAATATGTATGACGAGTTTTTTTTTTAATTACACTTTTATTCACTTTTATGAATTTGCTGATTGCATTAATAAGGAAAGCAAAGTTAGGTCATGGTTGACAACTCGTAGATGATGTTACACAGAGGTAAGAGCAAGTTACATTATTATCAGAGCTATGATATTTCGTAAAGCCTAAAGTGCAGGAAATGCGAGGCAAAACCGCCACAAACTAAGAAGTCTCATTGAATATCGTACAGATTAAATATTTGCAGGAACCAACAGGTGCAAGGGTGATGATAGACAAATGATTACAAGTGACCAGCCGGCCTCAGGCTGGGTGCTGATAAATACTTTTTGTGATAACGAGTTCCAAAAATGTTAAGAATTCAGGTCCAATACCAGCGATTGGCCAGTTCGACATGAATCCTGAATGCTGAATAAATACATTTGCATTCACGGCCTCAAATGATTAAGGTGAGATGCTGACGCTAAAATAGCTTTTACGCAACATCCAGTCAACGCTCAGGATTAGTATTCGTTCACTCAGGCGTTTGTTATACGTGCGTGTGCTGAATATGAGTGACGCGTTACAGTGCTGACCAAGTCTAAAACATGTCAATGTGTACAAATTAATCAAGCATTGTAACGTACGCACGAATGACGCGAAGAAGGGTGAAAAAATTGTAAACACAAACTCTGATAGCATGGCTTGTTGCAAACACGCTGTTTAGATGAAACTAATATGGATGGGACGATGTCTCGGTTGAGGTTCGTGCTACCGTCAATGACACATAAACGCAGTACCCGTCGCACTTTACTCGCGACTCGCCAATGAAATAGTATAATTTCTTGAAAAAACAATTTCTACTGTTTTGAATGTACAGGCCAGCGATATGAGTGCAGTGGCGACTTATGTGTCACTGGCAGTAGAGGAATGGGACTGTTGAAGTGTTGGTGCAGTTGCAGTGACCGACAAATGCGACTACACACACAAACCAAGCTGGGAAAATGTCCTACCAGAGTCACAGCCTTCATAAAGCGGAGCCATCACTCGACATAAATATGCCGTAACTCGACGAGTTGAGGGGTCACTTCTTCATCAAGTTGATTTAAATGTTTAAAAGCGTCTATAAAACAGCATTTATAGTTTCCTGTCGCCTACATCATATAAAAATACAAAATCAGGAGTCAGTATTTGCGAGGAAAGACCAAGTGGGTAGACCGTCATGATAAACATCACAGCCGATGGAGGACTGAGGCACGATGCTACCAGGAGATGTTATCATTATTGCTGTGTTAAACGTTAGCGTTGCGCTAGAGACGCTAGTTTAGTGTTATTGTTACGCTAGAGACGCTATTTTAGTGTTATTGTTAGCATTGCGCTAGAGAGCAGTGGGCGATTCTTCCTTGGGCATCTCGTAGGCTCCAGTGCCCTAGATGAGGAAGACGTGATCTTAGTTACTAGGACCATTAGTGAGCCTAATGAATGATCACTTCTTTATGGGGTCAATTGACCAGTGCATACAAAGCATTTTAATCACATGAAAAGAATAAGAGCGCTCATGAAGCAATTCTTGACGATGAATATATGGATTTAAACATTAATTTGAAAAGTAAGTATTTTCCAACGTTTTTCATAAGTTGACATTTTTTAAAAGCTTGAGGTCTCTCTTACAATTAAACGATAATTACCTACATAAACCAATCAGCCACTTTCAAAAACTGTAATTCGTAACGAAAGCGTTTTCTTTGATATGAATAAATAATTCTTCCTTTTCGTCACGATCGCCAAAAAAGATGAAACATAATTTCGAGATATTAAAATATGAAAAATATTAACCTTCAAGACCGAAGCTTAGAAGCTTCCTTTAATGGAACCAAAAACTAAAAACTCAGGCATAAGTTGGGTAATCATCTGAAATGGTTTCGAAGGATGATTATGATTACATAGCGCCGACATTTATAACAATAATGGAATTTTTCATCCATTTTAAAGTTACTAATGAAATTCATTTAATTTAGATCACTGAGCACAACGATTTCTTTCACTGTTCGAACTAAACGGGACTCCCATACACGGTTTCATCTTAATTGAAAAGGCACACAATAGATGATTAGCGGGAAAATGTTTAATTAATTGCAGTTCATTAATTGAAGAGGCACAAAATAGATGATTAGCGGGAAAATGCTTCATTAATTGAAGAGGCACATATCAGATGATTAGCGGCGGAAGGAAGATGATGGATGATAAACGGGGAGAGACCTGCACACTAGATAATTAAAGAGGAAATTTCTCGCTAATTGACGAGGCGAATATTGATTGGCCGGCCGAGACACAATAAATTATCAATTAAGTAATGAATAATGAAGGAAAAGCTACCTCGAGCTCACCAAAATAACGAGCACAGCGAGCCTGACAAATGCCTCGCTAATTAACGAAGTGCGCAATAATTAACGGGGTGGGACACAATTAATAATGAATATATACATATAATATAATGATACAATATAATAATATAATAAAGCTGGATTGTAACTGACCAAGAGGACGAGGACAGCGAGCAGCAGCAGAGTGACGGCCCACCAGTGCTGCTGCAGCCACTCCTGCAGGCTCGCTAGGGACTCGTCGCTCAGCAGCAACTTGCGCAGGGTGGCTAATGGCCCCGACGGGTCAACCTGCACATAACGACATTATGGTCAGCCGTAAGAACTGTGCGTACTGAGCTATGCAACGAGTCATGTCTGTGAACTTTGTGGTACTGCCTGCTGCGCTAAGGTTCATGTAAGTACATCTCATGGTACTGCCTGCTGCGCTAAGGTTCAGGTAAGTACATCTCATGGTACTGGATAGCAATAAACGATTCAAGTTAAGATTCAATAATAAGTTCCCATTAAAGAAACATACTCAAGTGGTTCTTGGCAGGTTGCTTTAAACTGGTAAACACGAAAGTATATTTTATGATATTCATGATATGGACTAGCTTGCATCCTATAGGCCACAGTATAGACATTAACCTGGAATACAAACGAGCTCTAATCTAGAGCCGATATTAAGATCACAATCGGAAGTGACCAACCTACTCGTGTTGCTTCAACAAACTTGCACAAGAATGAGACAGAAATCCTACATTTCCCTAAAAACGGAGCAAAATAATCCTCTTCACCATGAATGAATGCAGTCGTAAAATTTTCGATATTATGCCAAATGATAACAACAAGAATGAGTAAAGCACTTCGGCCTCAGAGATGTAAATAAAGTAAATAAATATAATGCGGGCACTCACTTCTCTGCACTTCTTAAACACGTCGCAGTATCCCTTGTAGTCGTCGCATGGAGTGCCCGCCTTGGCGTACATGTCGGGGATGTTGTAAGGGTAGACGTTCCAGTCAAACGAGGACCTGTAACATTAACGTCATCAAAATACCGTTAAAATGCGTTTAAAATACTGCCTAAACACGGATGTGCAAGAGCAAACTGAACATGCTTCAAGGAGATAAATTTAAAAAGAAAGGCAATTTTTCGAAAGTATGCGTGTAATGCAATTGTTCACTCATGAATTATATTTTTTCAGCGTGAGACAACGCTTCCAAAGTCATCAAAGGCCCAAAGCCATGAGATTTATAAGCTTTTAATTTGATTAATTTTTTTTCTTATATTGGTAACCCTATTACCCACTCCATCTAAGTAAATACGGATTGCTTGAACGACGGGTAATGTCTCCATATAAAAATGGTGAAAATCGATATAAATAAAGCCACATGAAGCGCAGAAATAATGGAGTTTGAACAACTCACAGACAAGGCTGGTCTTCGCCAGGCAGTTTGCAGCAGAGCTCACAGCTTTTAGTGTCGGGGTCGCCGGCGCTGCGGTGGCACTGGCAGCTCTCCAGGCCGTACGCCAGGCAGATGCTGCCTGTGCACTCCCCTCGGTAGCATACGAACTCCTTGTTGCATATCGTCTACCAACACACATATCATTTTTATTACATCATTATTATTTATTTATTTAATATACCATTATATGAACAAAAACCACATTAATCAATATTATCTGGCAATGAAAGATCGTTCTAAAGATCCAATATGAATATTGCCTATATACTGAAAGATCTACTCTGGAACCAATAACGCTAATGACGTCTTTTCGTATTACATGGAAATACATCACGATACGGCGGGATCCTATGGGAGAAAATCATCCAATATAATTTATTTCATTGTATTATTTAATATGATTATTACATGCAGAAAGAAAAATCATGCACTGAAATATCGAGTGTTGAAAGTGAGCGACGAACTTCCAGCTGTCGCACATGACAAATAAGATCTCGGCATGGAACTACTTTCCACGGAGCACAATACTCATGCTTGCATTTATAAAAATACAACAATTTTATTCATTAAATTCCAACGAAACTTCAAGAGATATCTTATTTTTAATAATATACTACTACTATTATTTCGAAAAAAATATATCAAACAATACTTCCATAAAATTATAAGAATTATGAGGTATTTAAATGTGGAGGCTAATGACTAAGTTGTTACTATTTTGGGCCGGACCGCGGTTAGTCGAGGTTACGCAGAAATCCCAAGTCAAACAACGTACAGTATCCACCATTTACATTATTAAATCACCACGAGCTTCTTTGTTAGACCTAAATCTCAGGAGAATTGTAGTTTATGAAGTAGAGCTGTTACCTTATTAGGCTTGTTGACGGATGGGGGGCACTGAGGGCCCCGGCCGTCACAGAAGGCCGTGTCACGGCAGCCGTTGTCGTCCCTGCATTTGTTGCCCTCCTTGAGCAAACATTCGTGCGTGCAGCATGGACCCTTCGTGCAAATAATATATATTATCAACATAGTTCTATACATGCCATCAAAACATTAGGAGAATTAATTCACAGCGTAATATGATTTAGACGCAATGACTGTAGAAATAAATTATTAATTCATAACAGCGAAACTATTCTTTGAATATAATTACTTGAATAATTAGTTCAGCACTGCGAAATTATTCTTAGAAAACGAAGACTATTGAGGATATAGAAAATCTCAAAAATCTAACAATTCAGTATGAATAGCATATCAGTTAATACTAATAATATAGTATAAAATAACAATTGAATATTGCTAATTAAATGAGTATTACTACCTGAGAGGGTGAGCATATCTTGTTGGGGCGCAGCTCGCAGGGGCGGTGCCCCTTCCTGGGGTTGGTGACCATGGGGAAGCAGCACTGGTCGTCGCAGTCTTCCTCCCACCCGCAGTCACATTCCTCCCCAGCCTCCACTACCCCGTTGCCGCAGATTGAGGCCTGATCCATGCATCAAATTCATTCATTCAAATCATACATCGTTTTGATAAATAATTTCTTTGTTAACAAGACACTCAAATCAAAAATGCATTCTTAATTCGCCGTAAACGTAACCAGAATTTTGCATGCAAAACAAGCAGTACGCGTGACCCACCTATCACCATGACCCACCTATCACCCATGACCCACCTATCACCATGACCCACCTATCACCATGACCCACCTATCACCCATGACCCACCTATCACCCATGACCCACCTATCACCCATGACCCACCTATCACCCATGACCCACATATCACCCATGACCCACCTATCACCCATGACCCACCTATCACCATGACCCACCTATCACCATGACCCACCTATCACCATGACCCACCTATCACCATGACCCACCTATCACCATGACCCACCTATCACCATGACTCACCTATCACCATGAGCCACCTATCACCATGACCCACCTATGACCCATGACCCACCTATCACCATGACCCACCTATGACCATGACTCACCTGCGGGAAGGTGAAGCAGCCCTTGGAGTCGCGCGCCTTGCTGTTCAGGACGCTGTTGATCTTCTTCAGGGAACACGGCGAGAACTTGTTGTTGTTCAGCTTGTCGCCGCTCGTGGCTCTGGAATAGAAATAACATCAGTATCATCGACATCGAAATAAAACAAAGGCCGAAGTAAAAGTTGTAGATAACAATAATGCCTTATTGTTGCGGAATAATATAACTTTGTTCACAGGGTGCTAATAACTGTAATAGCTGAATGGGTGATATTGTACAAATATTTATACACCTACAGCATGAGCAGACAGGGGACGTAGCACTGATACGCTCATACGTCAAGCCAAAATGAGTGAGTGATCTACACAAAAGTAAGAAGTGCATCGCTAATTGTTGCAATAATAAAAGTTGCAATAATAAAAATAATATTAATATTAGCGCTTTCAGCGTTTATTAGGTCGTAGGCCTTTCGCCGATCCTTAACATTGCAGAACATTCACAGCTTGTTGCGGTCTCGACATATTAGATATGGAAGAAGTCTTAACGCCCCCAAAAAGCAATCGTTTAGAACTGTATGAGGTCAAGTTCCTACCTGGCGAACATGATGTAGTTGCCGTCCTCGCCACCAGGTGTGCACGTGGTGTCGTGCTCAGGGTCGTGCGGGCTGCCGAAGTTGTGGCCGATCTCGTGGGCAAGTGTGACGTGGCTCACGGCCGGCGGCACGTGCTTGCCGTAGTTCAGTAGAGTCACGATCCCCGTATTCAGAGACTGACCAAAAAACAGTTATTGATATTGATAAATATATTTAAATATTGATATTTATAAATATCAATTGATAAATAATTTAGGCATTTAAAACACGTTATTTTCTGGTACTAAAAGAGCATTGCATTTACAAGACACAAGAAAAATGAAGTATTAAAAAGAACTACGCTTATTTATCAGCCGTTTACCAACAAACAATCAACAAATATCAAATTAATATACATTTTGCCATTAAAGGCGAGATAAAAAGCGTCTTATTTTCCTGTGTACCGGTGCAATAAAAGCTTCACTACATCATGAATGAAATAAAAGCTTCAATACATCATGAATGCAATAAAAGCTTCACTACATCATGAATGCAATAAAAGCTTCACTACATCATGAATGCAATAAAATCTTCACTACATCATGAATGCAATAAAATCTTCACTACATCAGTAAGTCAGACCTTAAGACTGCCGCGGTAGTGGCCGTTCTTCTCACACACGCCCCCAGCGTTCTTCAGGTCGCCGGTCCATGCCAGGCCCAGCGTGCCGCCTTCAAAGTCTCTGCACGCCAGTAAAGTATGTAGTTTAGTGGTGTAGTTATAAAGTATGTGGTTTATTAGTGTAGTTATAAAGTATGTGGTTTAGTGGTGTAGTTATAAAGTATGTAGTTTAGAGGTATATTTATAAAGTATGATGTTTGATGCAAATTCATACATTGTAGTAGCAAAATGAGTTAGCATTGTTCCATGGAAGTAGCTTTGATTATTTACTGAATTGTTAATTAGTTGAATAGAATTAGTTGTTAGAATTAGTTGAATTATATGGCAGCAAACGACACAAATGAGAGAATTATTTTCAGTTGTCGTCTTGTTAAAATACCGTTACTTTTATCTTGCTTCAACTTAAAAATAGTTTTTTTATTGAAATAAAATAAACGATTGACGGGTATATTAGTTAGGCAATCAATTCCATAAGGCTGATCTATGTAGGCAGGCATCTTCCTACACGAGACGATAGGGAGTAAAACGTTGCCTACACGAGGCCATAGGGAACGTAGGCTTATCTGTAGATGAACATGTAGGCTCACCTGTACGTGAACATGTAGGCTCACCTGTACGTGAACATGTAGGCTTACCTGTACGTGAACATGTAGGCAAGGCAGAAGGAATCGTAATCTTCTTCTGAGAAGAGCTCGAGGAATTTCTCTACGCCGTAGTTGTTGGGAAACCTGCAATGAATTATCACGATGAAAAACATTACGGAAACTACTGCAGGAAAAATACCATAAAAGTGATGAGAAACTTCACATAGAAGCACAATAAACCATCAATGAATTACTTCAGTTGTTGCAATAAGCAGAATTGAGCGGCTGAGAGCTAACGAAGGTTACTAAGTTATTGCTGAAAGTACAATGCCCTGAACAAACAATGAGAATTAATCAGTGAAGACAGTCGAGGTTCAACGAAACAAGAAGCTTTATTCATACGACGAACCAACGCATTCACTAGACACTCACGTGGATAATCTTGATTATTAATTGAGGTTTGAGAAATGAAGAGAACATTGGGAACAATATTATTGTAGGGGCTTTCAGTTAATGAAGCGACAGCACAAAGGAGCACGGCGCCGGAGATGAGTTCTCTTAGGGTAACATTAAAGCATAGAGTATTTCTTAGGGTAACATTAAAGCTTAGAGTATTTCTTAGGTTAACATTAAAGCTTAGAGTATTTCTTAGGGTAACATTAAAGCTTAGAGCATTTCCTAGGGTAACATTAAAGCATAGAGTATTTCTTAGGGTAACATTAAAGCATAGAGTATTTCTTAGGGTAACATTAAAGCTTAGAGTATTTCTTAGGGTAACATTAAAGCATAGAGTATTTCTTAGGGTAACATTAAATCATAGAGTATTTCTTAGTACATTAAAGCCTAGGGTGTTACTTAGAGTAACATTAAAGCTTCACAATCAAATCTCAGGGACCACACAAAGACAATAAGAAACCTTGAGGATGTTTCTCCTTGGCTTTATACATGAAAATAAAAGGTCCGAAATTTGTCAGATCTGTAAGATGCATTGACTTTTGTCGCAAATTATTTTGACGAAAATAAGCAGATAATATAAAGTGGAAAAATATCACATGTTAAATTCTTCCATAGTTTAAAATATCCAGGAGTGATTTATAGCATGAGTTTAATATTATTTAATGGACAGAATATCACGTACGTCAAGGTGTCAAAATATGAATTAAGGTAAGATATTACTTAAAATTCGAGCAAGCCAAACAAGGGCCGAGCAAGCACCTGTAGGCGGGGTCGCTGAGCGCGTGCTGGTTGTGGATCTTGATCCTCTTGATCATGAAGCGGATGTCGTCAGGCTTGCCGTCCCGGTCGAAATCTGCAGTGAAATGGAGAGTGTCTTAAATATCATTTACATCAAACATTTATCATTTGCATCCAGCCAATATCATTTGCATCAAGCATCAAGCATAAATAATATGCCTCAAGCATCAAGCTTAAATAATTTGCATTAAGCATCAAGCAAATATCATTTGCATCAAGCATCAAGACAATACCATTTGCATCAAGCAAATACCATTTGGGAGGTAATTCGAGCTGCCAGTTACCCACACACGGCGCAGGGTGGCCAGAAAACTTGTGGCGGCCAGAAAAACTTCCGAATTCCAGCCGCCACTATTTACCGCGCTATTGGACTCGTGTATGGGAGCGACTGGCCACGGAAGGACCTAAAAACATTTTACACTAGGCCGATAGAGGAATAACTAGGCGCAGTCAGCATTTGATTGTTTTACTGGCCACGACTTCTGTCCTCTTATAAAACATCTTTAAATAGACGCTCTTGATAAATGGAGTTCGTTATTATAAGCCCTTTTCCAAGACAACTTTTTATTTTGCACTGTACCTGCATGAGGTTTTATGATGAACCTTGGATTATAGTAAGCCAGACCAAGATGGTGATGGACTCGATGCAGGCCTCACCTGTCACTTTATAGATGGAGTTGACGCGCTGCACATGACGGGTGATGGACTCGATGCAGGCCTCCTCGGACCCGATGCGCTCGTAGAAGAGATGGTCGGCCTGCAGGTAGAGCATGCAGGTCGTCTTGCTGGGGTCGACCGCAGACCTGCGTGCAGAGATGAATAATTATGAGCATTTAGATATTTTAGGGGTTAAAAATGTACACGTAATATAGATTTGTACAATAACCAGAACAAATTATGGAAATATGTAAACTAATGAACGAATCCCAATATACTTTACACATGAAAGAAGAACATTGTCGTCATCTTTATCTTTGTGGAATGAATATCTTATGAATGTTTAAACTGCAATAAATTTAAATTTGAAATTTGAAAGAAATTTTAGAAATTAGACAGTATATTTAAACAAGAAAAGAGGAATAATTTCTCACCTCTTGAATCGCGTGGAGTTGTGTGGAGGCGTCATCTTCAAGAGCTCAGGGAAAAGCCGATTAGTAGACCTGCCTTTTATTTTTTCTTCCCCAACCCAGTCCCCGGGGCTGGCCGCACTTGAGGAGGGTGCAGGGGCATTATGCTGCTCAATAAACAACCGAGCGTTCTTAAGGCTCTTCTCTTGATATTCTGGGCTCTGAAGACCGTTGGATCCACCCTCGTCTTCTAATCCCTGTTGTTCCAAAGAAAGTTTCTTGTTTCTCGCGCTTACGGCCGCCAGAAGCTTAGGATGTATGCCGCTAGCAGCAACAGCAGCAGAATTATCCGCACTGTTATTCTTTCTGTAGGTGTCGTCGGTATAGCGAAGACCTCCGCGGTCGTGAAGCTTCTGAGAAGCGCAGTCGTCGCTGCTGGGGTCGAGCACGTCCGACGCTTTGTACATCACAGAGTGGAACTCTACGTCCTTCAAGTACCTGCAAGCGAAACGCTTCATGCAGGAGACATCCACAGCAAAGAAAGAAGATGTTAAATCTTACTCAACATTTTGATTCATCCAAGGGTCCGGGAAACGGCGTGGACCGACTATACGAAAAACATCAACGACTAACAACAATTAAAATGTACAGCAATTAAAATTCGTCCTATTTCACCAATTTTCGTAGTTATACGTTTCAATGGGATGATAAATTAGCAAGAAATGCGTCGCAGACGCACCTGTGAGCGGGTTCGAGGTAGTACAGCTCGTTGGGCGAGCGGATATGGCCGTCGAAGAGCCCGTCCGACGTCACCAGCCCTTCCACCTCAGTCTGGTCGTCGTCTGCCATAACAACAGAATTTTTCTCTAAGAAACTCTTACCAGTTGTTATTGCTTATTGTTAGACAAAAATTGTTTAATTTAAGAAAAATTTGACACGCTTCCATTTTGGGTTTCATCATTGATCAGATCTATGCTAGTGTCAGGATTTATATAATACTAGTAACAGAAACTAGAGGGTGAAACACGAGAAAGCCATCAAGTTTTTTTCTATCCCATTGCCTCGCCAAGCTACGAAATCTTTCCGAAACCAGAAAACGGAGAGAAAAAATGAGAGGGGGCCGGAAGAGGGGGTAGATAGGGACCGCTTTCAGGATCACATGTCAATTACAGACGAGCAGCAGCAGCTAAACTTGCAGAGGTTGTTAGGATCAGCTTGAGTTTACCGTGCCAAATTACCACTGAAGAAGTTAGTTCAGAGCGCCCGAGGGAGTTGGGATGGCATAAAGCGCACAAGGTTTTTTCCAGGCAGCATTTTACCGAAAATAAAAACCAACGCCAGAGACTCTTCAGCTGTACGTTTGTCGCAGCTTTACGCTAAGCACGTAACTACAGTATAAGTAAAGCGAAAGGTTTAGAATGACACTAAGCTGCTTGATTTCCAAGGACACTTCACTAATTTCATACCTTTGAAGTCTCATGATCAACCAATATCTAATAGTATTCTTAAATCTTTCGATAAGTCAATTTAGTTTGAATGACTCAGTAATTCGTATAAGAATCCGACAAAAAGTCGTGCATGAAAAAGTTCCTCACTTAAAACTTCGTCCTGACTCAACGCAATGAGACCAAATTTACAAGACGGAAAGTACGATCACGGTGGAGAAAAGGCTTTTACTTGCTAACTCCATTAAAACTATGCAAGAGGTCCGTCCAGCCAGGGGAAATCCATTAGAAGCAATAATGGAAAAATAGGAGTTGAAAAATACCAGCATTCGTTCGTATAAACAGTACCAGCGTTCGTGAATGGCTTAGTATTGCTACCCAACGCGGAGGAATCCGCTGTAAGTTTTTGAATGGATGAGTATTGCTACTCACCGTGAAGGTATCCGCTGTAAGTTTTATGGATGTCGAAGTTGACGGCGCCATCGGAGGACTCGAACTCCACATCGGGGCTGAAGACGCTGGCGTCGCGACGCAGGCGAAGATGGAAGAGCCTGTCACGTACAACACGTCACTTAGTAGGAACAACTCACTGCAATATTCCTCACTGACAACGTGTAGATATGCAAGCAGAGGAACTAACCAGAGCAGTGAGTCGTTCCATAATATTTAATCAATAAAATAATTTTGTACATTGTACAACGAAATAAATTAAACTTGAAAGCATTTTAAAAGTTCCGCGAACGGCTTCCGATGTTTAAAGATTGGTAACTACGAGCCTAGCCGCTCCAGAAGCGCTCTCAGGGCTCGGGTTGGAATGAGATTGCCAAGTTCGGGGAGGTGGACAAAGTTGCAAGCGGCTTAGGATTGCACGCGAGCTGCCGAGATTGCTGCAATCAAACGGCCACAGCGCCCAGCATATGAAGGAGACTAACGCTCGTCATATCGCAGCTCAGTTCCAGTGCTTGAAGTTGGTGATCCACGCGAGTACAGCCGCGATGAATGTGGTGTGAACGCAGCTAATGATAATAGCCCGTCATGCGTTTCAGAATTGGTTCTTGTGTGTTATATTCCCAATTGTATCCTATATACTATACAGATAAGCAAGATATACAAGATAGAAGTATGCAGATATAAGATATAAGTTATATGTATACATATAAGCAAGATGTACATTACACATAAGCAAGATAATAAAACACTGTTCTGAGAATAGCAAGACATGTAATCAAGTAACCGCACATCAATCAAACCTGCATGCATGGGGGAAGCACAATGCAATATCAGAGCATAAAAATTTTGCATCGTTAAATTTAAACAAGTCACAATCAAATCGATAATAATAAAGAAACGAATGTACAACTGATGCAACGTAAAAACTGCACATAGAGCTGATCCAGAAAATGAACGACTATCACGAAGCAAGTAGCATTAATAATGACATGGGAACATCAGTTCATTTAGCTCGGCATGCAGCATTGATAGGATCAGGTCTACGAGCCAAAATTATAACAGGGGAATTACAGGATTGAGGAAGGAGGATAACAGCGGCAGAACATGCGAAATACGATGAGCCGGATAATTAGAGCAGCAGAGCGCAGGAAATACGGTGAGCCGGATAATTAGAGCAGCAGAGCGCAGGAAATACTGTGAGCAGAATAATTAGAGCAGCAGAGCGCAGGAAATACGGTGAGCCGGATAATTAGAGCAGCAGAGCGCAGGAAATACGGTGAGCAGGATAATTAGAGCAGCAGAGCGCAGGAAATACTGTGAGCCGGATAATTAGAGCAGCCATGAAAGCAAGCCGCTGCTCTTCAGGCGGCCAATAACGTAGCGGCGGAGTGAAGCCCGCGCCGGCATATAGAGAGGGCGAGGGTGACTGCATGCTGCCTTCCTCGGACGCAACCTGCCTTATTACCAATGAGGGAACAAGAAATATATACTCAAAATATTATTGTTCTGAACAAATACAAGTAAAGCAATATAATATCCTTTTATTTTGCACATGAACAAGAAGAATGGTATACTAAATTATATTATATGAACCAGAATAAGCCAAGCGATATACTCAATCGTACTGTTATGAACGAGAATGAGCGAAACGATAAACTGAATTCTATTGTGACCTGAATTATCGAGTCAGCAGAATTTGAGAAGTCGAAAGAGCTGAATTCGAGAAGTCTAAATAGGTGATTTCAAATGGCCAACTTGTTGAACTAGCGTTGGTGAAGCTTTTGGGTTGATGCTTGTATGGTCCGCAGGCAATTAATGGAAGCCGTTCTGTAAATTAATTGAAATATTCGTCTTAAGTATAGAAACAAATCGAGGCCAAAATGCAGAAATGGATCCAATGGAGAGCAAACACACTGAAATTTGAAGCCTTATGTGTGGAGCATACATGAAATTCGCTCTGAAGGTTGTTATAACCAGATGGAGTGAGCAGGGAATGGGTTGGATTGACAACTTCTAAATTGAAAGTTAACAGCGGGAGTTCGGAGCGCGGAAATGTAACAGCTTCTCAAACGCTGACGGCTAAATTGATTTTCGAAGCCCACGAGGCTATTGAGGTCGTGAAGGTCGCTCATGACAAGGTCAATTGCATGCGTCCTTGTGTGATGAAGTGAGGTCGACATCGATCCCTTCATTGAGGGCAATCGATCATCCGCCTGAGAACATTCACAAGAATATAGACGAAGGCTCACGCTTCAAATGAACACGATTTAGAATCGTGCGAGCTGCAAGACTCAAATGAGTGACGTCATATGCACTCAGAGAAATTGTTGAGATATTGTCCAGATGTGGCGGCACCACTGTAACTGAGTCGAAGACTTCTCGTGTATGCAAGTAATAGGTGTTGATTAATACGTTAACTTAACCGTGGTGAACTAAAGTGTTGGTGCCTACAATGTGAAAAAATCTATGCCGGGAGTGTTTACGTCCATTTGATTGGCTTATTTAATACGGGAATAATAATGATGATATATACAGCACTAATACCCTAGTGCCGATTATCAGTTTGTCGTAAGTAAGCCAGCCGACAACGATGCAGGACGCGCAATTACGATCATCGCAGCCCTCGCGATTCGTCACAGGATTCCTGAGCATTTGCCTGCAGATGCGACAGCATCGATCGTCGGTGTCACGAGGGTAATGCATCCAGAAAAATGAATGGGTCCAATCGTCTAAGTGGCAATGTATTTTCTGTACGCCGCACTGATACGCTCTATAGGTATGAATGAAGCAAAAAACAGCAAAAAGTGCTGCGATATTTGGACAAAGTGCCACTCATTTTTCTTTAGTTATATGGGAGCCCCTATATAGGCTTCTCGGCGCCATGCATAAAAGATGGATGCCGCCTCTGCATCACACGTCAGGCAACCGCAGTGACATCAGCACCATGTCAACATCGTGCGTCTGGTGACATCAGCACCATGTCAACATCGTGCGTCTGGTGACATCAGCACTATGTCAACATCGTGCGTCTGGTGACATCAGCACCGTATCAACAAATATCATTCAAATCGTTGAACTAAAAATGACAAACGAGTGTTCCGAACTTAGAACGGAACAAACATTCAAGACTTTATTTATGCCTAAAACCGCGGCATGTAATCCTAGTTAGGGCATCCGAGGAAAAATATCATCAAAGTCAATGAATCGCTACGTTACTTTCAAGGAAATGTGAAGATGGTACAATCCTGAACGATCAAAACGATCAGTCCTAAATAAAATTAAAACGATCAAACTAAGTCGTCAGAACTAAGACGACCAAACTAAGACGTTAAAACTATAAGCCATCAGAACTAAAACGTTCAAACTAAGTCAGAAAAAAGAAACTTCATGCGTCAAATCGGAAGAACCACCTTCAGAACTGCTGGCTAAACTTAGCGGCAGTTGTTGTCGGGAACGTAACGTAGTCCCGACGCTGACGTACAAGTTTGTACCATAATCTATATATATTGTTATAGGTATAAATATCTGTTCGTCCAACCTGCAGCAGTTAGTCACTTACTAGAAGGCACCGATACTACATCTTAATCCAAGTCGTCGTACTTTTGTATTCTACGTGCGACCAGTCTGCGATCTATGAATAAAATATTCATACTTGTGCCGAATATAACCTGAGTTAGACAATTCGGAATTCAATCTATTCATATCCATCGCCGACAGTTCTATAAACCATTACACATAATTGAGGCGGAGTGCAGTTTATAGCAGAAAGACGAGATTTTTCATAGATCAAACCGAGACGAGGGAGCATCATCATCTGGACAAGTTGTGTTGCTACGACGACTTCCTTTTGATATCCCAGACGTTGATTGCGGCACAAAATTCCCAGGCGCCCTGAATGCTGCTCGCCTGAGGCCTTTGATGAAGAGACATAAGGTCTATACAGACGAAACAGGACATGCAGATGATGGGTCATAGGGTCCGCAGACGAAACGGGATCAGCAGACGATGGGTCATAAGGTCTGCAGACGAAACGGGATCAGCAGACGATGGGTCATAGGGTCTGCAGACGAAAAGGGACCTGCAGACGATGGATCACAAGGTCTGCAGACGAAATGGATTGAGAGCAGCAGACTATAGGACACAAGGCCTGTAAACCTGCAGGCGATGTGAATCTTTTAATGCGCACAAAGAGAATTGAGACCAATAAGCGAAAAAACAAGCCATATACCATATACAGTCAACCAGGAAATGAAACCAAAAGTGATGGTCAGTAATGGTATTTGAGGGAATAATGAGATTTAAGTAAAGCGCTGCAGTGATGGAAACAACCGGAGCGTGGATGGACCAACATCGGTCTTGTACTTCCCAATGGTCGCAAAAATAACACCTCCTTCCTTTAAATTTCAGTAGTCATTTAAACTGGTAAAAACTGCACGCCAGAACAACACATAATCACGAACAAACTTTCATACGTCTGCCAGGCCTGTGCGATGTAACTCACTAGAAAAAATGACCATCACGGGCCTTTTCTATATAATCTTCCCTAACGCTGCGCTACCTCCTATAAAGGAGGTACCTATAGCGCAAAATAAATAAACAATCGTACCCAAAAAGTAGGCACAATTGTACCCATGAAGTAAGTACAATTGTACCCTTTAAGTAAGTGCAATTGTACCCATAAAGTAAGCACAATTGTACCTACTTTATATGCATATAGTAAGCTCCGTACTCAAGAGTAACAACCTCGTTCTCTTCACGTACCTCCGCCAGCCCTGCCTTAATTTGCATGCAATTGACGCTGTTCTTGACAGCGCGATGCACAAAAGACGCCGGCGCCGCGGCCATGAGCGGCATAATATTTGTTCAGGACAGGACGCGAGCACGCCACGGCTGAATGCAGCGCTCTTCCAAGTGCATTGTATGCGCTAAATAATGTGTTTTAAATATTTAATTAGATAATAATAATGAGAATGAATAAAATTATAGAGTATAGACCAATGAGCATATTATATTATTCATTCAGTGATGGTTACTCAACTCTGTGTGAACTGACTGTACCTCAAGCTACAAGGCACTTTATTTATTAATATAGAGCAATAAA